AGTTGTATGTCATAGTTGCACATCATTCTAGTTGCTGTATGTGGGACGCGGCCTCAGCATGGCTGAAGAAGCAGTGTGTCGGTGCGGGCCCGGGATCCCAACCCGGACCGCCAGTAGCGGAGCGCGCACACTTAACCGCTAAGCCACGGGGCCGGCCCTGGAAGCTCTTAAAATATTTAAAATACCAGAAACGAAGCTAGTTAAATCTTATTTTCTTCCCAACAGTTCATATACACATATGAACACAAAATAGACGTCCAGCCACAGAAAAACATCACGAGAAAGACGTTTCATTCTAATAAGTTTCACACACATGCTATGAAAATAGGTATCATTTAAAGATACTGCTTATTTCGCTACACGTGGAAATTTCACAGAATAAAAATGACTGCTCCTCACATCTCCTCTTTGAATCACACAATGGTGTCAATTCCACACGCTAATGTTGAAGGACACATTTAACAGTTTTACAATAGAAATACTATTGTATACAAATCTAAAGACTACAACATTACATCATAAATAACCAGCTTTTTTTAGGTACTTCAGATTAAATTACGTAAGATCTAGTTACCAGAATTTATTTAAATGCAAAAAGATTATAGTCTTTTTTTGTAGTGTGATCCAAATATCTGGATTAGAAATAATTAAATCTAAGTTCCTGTCACTTCTATGTCACTGACTTATGGTATACTAGGAAAGTTACACTCATCTTCTACCAGTAGTGGCACCATAATGACCACTTAGCATGGGCAAAAAAGCTCACTATTTATTGGTCAACACTCATAAAATAAAGTAATAATGAAGGCCATTTTCAACTCTGGATTGATTACTAGTAATTAGTCAGGTGTCTGACCCTTACTGATTTCTAGAATTGGTGTGAAGATTAAATAAGGTATGTAAAGCATGTAGCAGAGTACCTGGACTACTATAAGCTCAATAAATGGTGGTAGTATTAATACTCACATAAAATAGACACTTTTATGTAGCCACATTTTAGGTAATGTATCTTTTGGTTTAAAACTAAAAAACGTGGTGGTTAGGAAAGTGCAAGTGAATATCTCCCTCATGTTTTCTTTTAATTTCTGAAGAAAACAATCAATTGGTTTCAAGGTAAAAAGGTTCTGAACCCTTAGTGGTAGGCTTTATAGAGATTCGACTGATGATTCCAGTACAATCCATCGATGACTGGGGGTAGGATTGTAGGCTGAGCTAAAAATTATAATCTTTCTAAAATGAAGTATAAACTCATACTTTTGCATCTTCTAAAGCTGTGTATTCTTTTAGCTTGATAAGCTGTATGTACTTTCAAAACTCGAGACATTACTTTGATAAAATTTTATAGGCGACCACTACACTCCTACAGACTTACTTTCAACTTTGCCAAAAAAAAGTGATTATTTTAAACTAATATATTTTAAAAACTGAATAAGCTAGCAGTGACTTTTCTAATAAAAATATCTTTACCATCTATAGTTGTGAAGATTTAATAGCAGCTGATGAGAAAGAGAGTTTTTAGATGAAAGACCTTGGGAAATGTGCATATTTTTAAGTACTAAAGAAACCAAAAGGGTACAAATGAAGAGTAATTAGAGACTAAATAAAAGTCTATGAGAGAGAATGGGAATACATTATATATCTGCCAAAATCTAGTATTACTGCATAGTATTTATCATCAATAACATTTAAGAGAATCTCTAGAAATTGTTTTTTTACCCAAGCAACTCTCTATATAGATATATTGTCTTTGTGGAATTCTCTCCTACGGGGTTTTTTGAAAGGTAGGGGAGAGGAGAGGTGGCAGGTAAATGCTACTTTAGTTTGTTGAAACACGTTAAGACAGAATAACCTGATAGACAGAATAACTTAATCAAAAAATGAAGTTTCTGCGGGGCTGGGCCCGTGGCGTAGCAGTTAAGTGTGTGCGCTCCGCTGCTGGCGGCCCAGGTTCGGATACCGTGCGCGTACCGAGGCACCACTTGTCAGGCCATGCTGTGGCGCTGTCCCATATAAAGTGGAGGAAGATAGGCACAGATGTTAGCCCAGGGCCAGTCTTCCTCAGCAAAAAGAGGAGGATCAACATGCATGTTAGCTCAGGGCTGATCTTCCTCACAAAAAGAAAAAAAAAAATGAAGTTTCTGATTATTTGACACATGCTGACTATATTAATTTGGTTGATAACAAACTCGCCAACACTTAAGTGAGAAAGGTATCATATAACCCCACTACATTAAAATTTACCACTTCCATAAGTATTACATATAATGATGTCATCATGAATAGGTAGATTGCATCTATAGCTTAGAAATCTCAGACCTATTCTTCTAAAACTATTCTTACTTGAATATGTTTTATCAGTAAAACAATATCTTATAAATATCATCATTAATCCTTAGTCTATAACTCATGCAAGGATAGTTAAGACATTATTCCATTGCTACAAACGAAAAAGATTATCCAATATGGGAAAGAAACTTGAAGAAAGTCACCAGTAAGTAATGGAGCCAAGATAAGAATTCATGTTTCCAAGTATCAAATTTATGTCTACTGACATGTTACTCTGCTGGCAGTGACTTTTCACCAGAGTACATGAAAGCAAATATAGAAAAATATTAATAACTTTCAACAAATATGATAGACAACACTCTTCAACTGGCTTGACCCAGTAATTCCATTTCTAAGAATTTATTCCTACTGAAATATTCAACAAGAATATATATATATGAAGATGTTCAATACAGCATTATTTGCAATTTTGAAAATTTTGAGAAAATCTAAATGACCATCACAAGGGAAATGGTTAAATAAATTATGGTATATCTACTCTATTAAATATTATGCAGTTATTCAAAGAAGAAGGGAGGATATATAAAAACAGGTGTGGGAAAATCCCATGATTTACTATTGTCTGAAACATTGGAAATAAAGAAGGTATAGAACAGGATCAAATACCCAAAAAAAATTTTTTTTTCCACTTTTCCTTTACTAAATGTCTACTCTCAAAAGAAAACTAAGGGCCAGCCCAGTGGCGTAGTGGTTAAGTTTGTGTGCTCTGCTTTGGCGGCCCAGGGTTTGTGGGATTGGATCCCGGGTACAGACCTATGTACCGCTCATCAAGCCACGCTGTGGCAGCATCCGATATGTAAAATGGAGGAAGATGGGCACAGATGTTAGCTCAGGGCTGGTCTCCCTCAGCAAAAAGAGGAAGATTGGCAACGGATATTAGCTCAGGGCCAATCTTCCTCACGAAAGAGAAAGAAAGAAAGAAAGAAAGGAAGGAAGGGAAGGGAGGGGAGGGAGGGAGGGAGGGAGGGAGGAAGGAAGGAAGGAAGGAAGGAAACTAAAAATGAGCTCAAAAGGCATACACTCAATATGGTATAAATCTTCCTCAGAATCCTACATGAACTGAGCATTGTCTATCTAGATATGCTTCCCAAGATCAAAACTCCTTGAAGTCTTTTAGAGTAGAGGCTGTTTATTCTTTAATAATCTCTATACTACAGAAATTTATAGTAGGGGGGCCAGCCCTGTGGCTTAGCGGTTAAGTGCGCACGCTCCGCTACTGGTGGCCTGGGTTGGGATCCTGGGCGCGCACTGACGCACTGCTTGTCGGGCCATGCTGAGGCGGTGTCCCACATACAGCAACTAGAAGGATGTGCAGCTATGACACATAACTATCTACTGGGGCTTTGGGGAAAAAAAGGAGGAGGATTGGTAATAGATGTTAGCTCAGGGCCGGTATTCCTCAGCAAAAAGAGGAGGATTAGCACGGATATTAGCTCAGGGCTGATCTTCCAAAAAAAAAAAAAAAAAAAAAAAAAAAGGAAAGAAATTTATAGTAGGATACAGGTTATGGGGAAACAGATAACGCTCCCCACTGCCATTTGCAGTCTATTCTCTACTCTTCCTCCTTCGAGACTTATGCTATCCTGTTCTACCACCTCCTCTCTCTCCTCATGGTCATCATTAATTCATTCAAGACACTTTTAATAAATAGCCACTATGTACAAAGCAAAGTACCTGCTAGGTCCTGGTGCTACAACTGCTAACAAAACATAGACTCTCCTTCCCAGAAGTCTATATTCTAGTAGGGGAGACCTGCTGGGTAAAATTTGGTTACAACTTACGTGCTGGCTGGTATAACAAGTTGAAGCACAGAGCGCTATGGGAACAGACAGGCAGTGCCTGACACACAGAAAAAAATTCAACAAATATCTTATGAATAAATGATTGTCCATTAACACCTGACCAGTTTGTCACATTTTGTATAATTAGGGATATAATTAATTATCAATGAAAAGCAAAGAATTATGCAATTTAATCTTGGCAAGAAAAAAGCCTTTATAAATGCAACAAAGGATAACACTATACTAGCATGTGGTTAGACAAAGCTTATTAAAGAGGAATTCAAATATAGTACAAAGAAAACAAACTCCTCATTATTAGTCTTACCTGACTGTGTCATAGATAATGACTCGTCTGACCAACTATAACAGTTCTGATGGGACTTGACAGGTAGACGACACTGCCCTCCAGTCCTCTGACCTCCTTTGCTGGACTCCTGCTTTGACAAAGATGTGCAGCTTTTGGGAGGTGACTGTTCAAACAGAAAACCAAATGGGAACTGTTTTGTCATACAGCTGTAAAATTCTATCTAAAATTCAAGATACTAACCAGCTGAAGATAATATTTACAAAGAGTTTTAAATAACTCTATGACAAAGTGAAAAAAGTTTACCAATTACATAAATATAAGACCTCAATTTTTTTAAAGGTATAGAAAAAAGTTATTAAAAAGTATGCTTTTAAAGATTGTTCATAATAAACTAGGAGTGGCTATTATATAAGTGATATTTACCCTCTTATTCTTTTTAATTTTAAAAACACTAAATAGGGAGGTGCAGATATCTCTTTGACAGTGATTTCGTTTCCTTCGAATATATACCCACAAGTAGAACTGCTGGATCATATGGTAATGCTTCATCGACGGATGAATGTACAAAGAAAATGTGTGTATGTGTATATATATACACTATTCAGCCATAAAAAAGGAAATCCTATCATTTACGACAACATGGATGGAACCTGAGGTCATTATGCTAAGTGAAGCAAGTCAGAAAGAGAAAGACGAATACTATAAGGTCTCACTTATAAGTGGAATGTTAAAAAAAAACTTATGAAAAAAGAGATCAGATTTGTGGTTACCAGAGGTGGGGGTGGAGGGCAAGGGAACTGGGTGAAGATAGTCAAAAGGTACAAACTTCCAGTTATAAGATAAATAAGTACTGGGGAGGTAATGTACAACATGGTGACTACGGTTAACACTGCTATGTGGTATATTTGAAAGTTGCTAAAAGAGTAGAGCCTAAAAGTTGTCATCACAAGAAAAAAATTTTTTTGGTAACTGTATGAGGTGATGGATATTAACTAAACGTATTGTGGCAATCAATTCACAATATATGTATGTGAAGTCATGCTATACGCCTTAAACTTATGCAGTGCTGTATGTCAATTATATCTCAATAAAACTAAAAAGAAATTTGTTTAATACTAAACAAGTACTACTTTTATGGGAAGGAAGGAAGAAGGGAGGGAAAGAGCAAGGGAATAAAATAGAGCGTAAGAAGACTGCCCATAACAGATTATTATAAAGGACATAATTTCTACCCCGACGTCACGTGGAAGTGAGAATGCCTGACTTGGTTTCTGGCTATCATCACTTCCTATCCCTGTGACTTTGGGCAAGCTTCCTAACCTGGTAAGCTTCAGAGTGGGGCTTCAAACAGTATCTGTAGAATTGTTGTGAGGATAATCCACAAATTTGTTGTGAGGATAATCCACAAAAGGCATTTAGCATACTACTTGGCACTTGGTAAGCAAGCACTCAATAAATATTAGTTTTTACTATAAAAACCACTTTAAGACATTAGTTTTGATTTCCTTGATATATTTTCTTGTGAGGGAAAAAAACCTAATTTTTAGCATTTGATCAGATGATGGCTATCCTGAACCTCAATAACGATGCTAGGTAGAATCTAATCAATTTATAGGAAGTAATAAAATAATAAGATTGTGTCAAAATGAGTAGTTTGGTTGTAAATTCCTAGAAGGTAGGAATCACGCTATAAGTAAATTATCTATACAAAAAGCCTATTATCACATAATAACTAAGAAATCGCTAATGTAATTTAATTAGAAGCTTTTTATAATCTAAAAACTCTGTTTTCAAGTTTGTGCACAAAGCATTGGAATATTTTGCAACATAACATGGAGTAGCCTCTCCATTGGATAAAAAATATTTTTCCTCCAAATCCTTCATGTGCTGTTAACACACATAAATCTGACTGATTTTTCAATAGGGGAACTACAATTCCTTCTTCACATCCACAATAAAAATGAAGATTCTAACAAAGGATATTCCATTCTGAATTTAGGTGAAGTCCTTTTTTTAAACACAGAGAGGTCTTAACAAACCTTGTGTTCACTTAATATTTAATATTGTTATGCTAATCCCTTTATATACTTTATAAAATGAAATTAAAAAGAAAAACAGTTAAGTTCTGAGCTTAAGTTTTTACCAGATAGTTTTTTTCTTTTAATGAAGTATAGAATTAAGGACAATGTGGAAAACCCTCTTATTGTAATAGTGACTATTATTCTAATTTAGAATCAATAACCATTTCAGATCCGCCTTAAAGAAATAAAACCATTACTTTTATTCTGATTATGAGTTATAGAGCAGTGATTATAACTAAATTATAGAAAAGGCACACTGGTATCATATAAGGTCTTGTTTCTATTATATGATAAAACACAGATTTTAATAAGAACTTGTGCTGTTCCCACATACTATCTTTATTAAAGTAAACTTTAGAAGTTCCTATCCCCCCAACATTAATAGACTTAATAGCATATAACTTTATAACTGCCACTAAAGCTATAATTCATATATTTATAAATCTTTAAGAATCAATAAAAAGCTTTATTTCTATTCAAATGTCATATACTATATGGGTGACAGTATGGGTGACAATGTTGTCATCAACAGCAAGAATATAGTTGTCAATAATATACCTCTTAGACAGGTTTTTTTCTAAAGAAGTTTTAAGATATAAATATACATTAACTTACATGTTTACTAGGAGAGGTAGAAGATTCCAGTTCTTGTGAAAAAACCATTTCTTCAGTAAGTATACTGTGATCTGAACTCCCTGGCTGCTCCTGAACTAAAGACTCAGATGGTATATATTCAACAGCAGGACTGCCCAATTCTTCTGGAACAGAGCTTTCACTGTGTAGATGAGAGTAGGAAGGTACTGGAGATTCTGCTTCACTCGCTATTTCTAGAAAGAGAGGGTGAAAACAAGAAAAAGTATACAATGTTGGTCAAGGGAAATGTTGGTCAAGGGAAATGTTCAACTATTACACTTTCCATTTGTTTTTAGCATAATTTCACTAGTTGCATTTAGATATAATTTTTTAATCTCATAAATTAATGAATCACATTTACTTCAAAGTCTGTTAGTCTAAGAATTTTGGCTGACGCAAACTGAGAGAAAATATGATAATGATAACGACTGACAACTTAAGCGGTGGTGAATATGCAGAGCAATTACAACTCATATATTTGTTCAGGAGTGGAAACTGGTCCAACCACTTTGGAAAACAATTTAGTAGTACTTGGAAAAGAAGAAAACACTCTATGATTTAGCAATTCCACTTCTAGGTATACATCTTAGAGAAATCTTGTATATATGCAGCAGGAGACATGTACATGGTCATTAGCAGGATTGTTATAATAGTCAAAAACTGGAAGAAACATAAATGTCTACTGATAGTAAAATGAATAAATTGTGGCATATTTATACAAAGAAATGCTACATAGCAATAAAAATTAATGAACTAGAGCTGCATGCATCAATGGAGATACGAATTTTTATTTAGCACTTTCAGAATTTCTAGTACTGTCTCGCCTCTGGAATTTCAGTCCATTGCGGCCTTTGCTCTTTCCAGGAAAACAGAAATATGTTTGACACTAAATAGAAAATTCTCGACATTATACTTGTATAATCTTAAGAATGTACACTGTTATCCTTCTTTGTCTCTACAGGTATAATGCCCCACAAGGATTAGGTTATATCGCACTTTGGGTCAGTACTGCTAACATTCGATACATTCAATTCTAAAAATATTACTTAAGATCCTGGGCCTGAAATCTGTAAAATAAGTTTATTTAACATAAGAAATACCTATACCCCAAAGAATGTTTCACTTTAATATGCAAGGATGACCTGACATTTAAAAGCATTTCAGTTAAAAATTTAAAAAGGTATATTTTTATATTGTGTATGTGTAGTATAATCAGATGGTTGAATGGATGAATGAATTCTAAAAATCCTCAAGGATATTCACTTATTCCAAGATAGAATGTAGGTAAAATCTTAAAAGGTTTAGAAAATGATTTCATTTTAGGTAGTGTGAAATAGAAGAATCCTCTACATTTCTGCTTTATACCCTCCAACATCGATGTTTTATTTTTGTTCAGTAACGGTAACATATACTCATTTTAAAAGTTCAAACATTATCAAAATTGTATGAAGAAAAAAATGAAAGTTGCCTGTACTACCACCTCCTGAGAGATAACCACCGAAGCTTCTCCAATCTGATGTCTTTGTGGAAGACTTCAGTTTTTTGCCTTTTCCCTTATTTTTTAAATTACAAAAGCAATACAAGAATGTAATAAAAAAACAAAAAACTTCAAATAGTACAGAGGGGGGAAAGTGATTACTTCACACACTCATCCCCAACCACTTTCACCTGCCCAATTTCCATACCTCAAAGATAAACCAACGGCAGTCAAGTATGGTTGGTGTGTGTTTCTTTCTAGACCTTTTCCTACACTCTCTTTTTTAAAATTTATTTTTTTTAATTATAGTAAAATACACATAAAATTTACCATCTTAACTACTTTTAAGTGTACAGTTCAGTTGCATTAAATACACTCACACTGTTCTGCAATCGTCACCACCATCCATCTCCAGAACTTTTCCATCTTCCCAAATTGAAACCCTGTACTCAATAAATAATAACTCTCCATTCTCTCCTCTCCCCAGCTCCTAGCAACTAACTTGCTACTGTCTCTATGAATTTGACTATTCAAGGTGCCTCATGTAAGTGGAATCATACAGTATTTGTCCTTTTGAGACTAGCTTATTTCACCTAGCATAATGTCTTCAAAATTCATCCATGTTATAGTACGTGTCAGAATTCCCTTCCTTTTTAAAGCTGAATAATATTCCGTTGTATGTATGTACCACGTTTTGTCTATCCATTCATCTGTTGATAGACACTTGAGTTGCTTTCATCTTTTGGCTATTGTGAATAATGCTGCTATAAACATGGGTGTACAGATATCTCTTTGAGAATCTGCTTTCAATTCTTTTCAGTATATACCCAGAAGTGGAACTGCTGGGTCATATGGTAATTCTATTTTTAAATTTTTGAGGAACCACCATACTATTTCCATAGCAGCTACAACTATTTTACATTCCCACCAGCACTGCACAAGGGTTCCAATTTCTCTAAATCCTCACCAACATATTTTATCTTCTGTTTTTCTGATAACAGCCATCCTAATAGATGTGAGGTGGTATCTCATTGTGTCCTTAACTTTTGAAAACAGTTATATGTCAATAAGAGTCTAGCAACATTCACACACTTTTAAAGAAACATGGACAATACTGGCCAACCTCCAACATTCCTTTTTAAATATATCCTATATAATGTAACATAAAACCAATGGAAAAAACACCAAAACTTTGTAAAATGTATAATCTGCATGCATTGTCCAATACGGTAGCCATTAGCTACATGTGGCTATTTAAATATCAATTAAAATTAAATCCAGTTCCTCAGATCTCCTAGCCAAATTTCAAGTGCCACATCCAGCTAGTGGTTACCACATCGGACAGCACAGATACAAAACCTTTCCATCACGAAATATCTATTGGATAAATGTAGACAGACTCTAACAAACTTAATAAGTGAAAAATTAAACTTAAAATCCAGATCGAGGACCGGCCCCGGGCTTAGCGGTTAAGTGCGCGCGCTCCGCTGCTGGCGGCCCAGGGTTCGGATCCCAGACGTGCACCGACGTATCGCTTCTCCGGCCATGCTGAGGCCGCGTCCCATGTACAACAACTAGAAGGATGCGCAGCTATGACATACAACTATCTACTGGGACTTTGGGGGGAAAAAAAAAATCCAGATCGATTTTGATACTGGGAGCAGTAGTAGTTACACAGTAAGTAGACTCTTCAAACGGAAAGTAGACTTTCCAGTGTGTGGTTAACTTATTTACTATGGTATACCTACTGTATTCTGTTGCACAACTACAAGCACATAGTAAATATTGAATTGCTTCTTAATCTATAACCTAATCCTATCTACCATGAAAGAATTTAAGAGTCGTCATAGCTATATTTTACATTTCAAATCCAGAAACAAAAGTAGCATTTTTTTTTTGTTTTGGTGGGAGAAGATGGAAGTCATTGCATCTGCAGACTTTAAAAAATCAATCTTTGGAAAAAGTCTAAGAGTTCTTTCCTAACAATATTTTTTACAATGCTTTATGAAAGAAAGGTACATAGCTTGAACTCTTGGACACCTGTCATGTTTCCTGGAGCTCAAGCACATTTTTAATCCCTCACTGCTATTTGATAAATTTCCTGCCACAGGAGTTCCTTGTCACCCAAGATAGAAACCAGAAAATGAAATTCCCAGCCTCCCTTGGTGCTAGGACTTAGGCATTGGAACTAGGTGTCTCCAATCTGATGTCCCTGTAGAAGACTTCATTTTGGAAGTGAGTAACCTGAGGAAGAAGGCTCCACGTGGACTCTACTTTAGGTGGCTTTTGGTAGTGACAGTGGATTTTTCAGTGGTTGCAAGACTGAATCTCTGGTGCAGAAGTGGCATCAGTGGGGAAATAATAACAGCAGCAGTTTTCTTTAGGGCTCTGCTGAGTAGCAGATGGAGCAGTTTTCTCATCAGGTCAGTTCTGTGGTGTGATTTTGGCACTGCTCCTGGAAGCTTAGTGTGGAGCTTACCCTCCAGCCATCTCAAAAATTTTATGAACCACTGAATATCCTTTAGTAAATTACTTTTCTGCTTGGTCTGAGGCAGCTTTGGCTGTTGCAACAATGTGCCTGAATAGGTACATTGTCATTTATTTCATTATAATGTATTTTTTTTCTTGATTTTTTTCTTGATGCCACTTTACCTTATTAAGTAGTTAAACTATTCATAACCTATATTTGATGAGATTAAACTTGCATTAAAACTGCCCTTGTTTTACCACAGTTACGCAATAATATTTTCCATGATTAAGTAGGTCAACAGTTCCTGATAAATGGAGCCTTGAACAGCTATTCCTCATTTGCCTTCTAGCCATAGTCAGAAGTGTTTTCTATGTCTATTCCAGCCCATGACGAAACCTGAGAAATTGATTCTCTTTTCCAGGTCCTCTTAAATTTCCTTCCAAGATGGAGAAGTCTGTAGCAGAATCTGAGGCTACAGAAGGAGGATGAGGAAGCTGACACAGAAGTAAGCCTCTGCTGAATAAACTAAAAAAAATTGTTGAGAAAAAAAGGAAGACTACAGATGAACTGCATTTATTGCATCATTGGTTTTCTTTATGTATTATTTGGTATGTACAGCTAAATAATATATCACTTAGTTTTGCATGCTTTTGAATTGTCTATAAAGGGACTCAAACTACTTGTAGTCTTCTGTGATTTGTTTTGCAATTCTTGTATGTTGATTTGTATAGCTGTAATTTTTTCATTTTCACCAAGCATGATATAATACGTGACTATACCATAATTTGTTTATCCATTCTCTTATTGATGGACAGGTGGATAGTTTCCTTTTTTCTTTGTAATTTCAAATACTGCTGCTATGAACAATGTCATATATATTTCCCAGTACACAGATATATATCTATATAGGTATTTATAGATATATTTATATCAATCTACATATTCTCTCTCTCTCTATCCATCCATCTGTCCACCTATCTATGTAAAAGTTCTGTACAGAAGTAGGTTTCAGACTTTTTAACTTTAACAATAATATTTATCCTTACTATATGTGACATAATGATATTTTGTATTTTATTTCAACTTTAAACAATGCTGACTGCAATCCACTAAATGGATTTCATACATCTCTAATGGGACAACACACAACTTGAAAAACATTGCTCTAAGACAGCAGTTCTCAAACATTTTGGCCTCAGAACCACTTTACATTATGAAAAATTATTGAAGACCCCCAAAAGCTTTAGTTTATGTGGTTATAGATATGATTATAGCTATCAATATTTACCACACTAGAAATCAAAATGGAAAAAAATTAAAAATATTAATTTATTTAAAAATAACAGTAATAAACCTACTACATGTTAACATAAATAACATTTTCTAAAATTTAAAATAATTACATTTTTCCAAAAAAATGTTTAGTTGAAAGGAGAGCAAGTGTTTCACATGAAATAAAATCTTTAATGTCTGGCTTAACAGAAGATAGTGGGATTCACCTATCTCCTTCTGTATTCAATCTGTGGCTATATGTTGTTTTAGTTGAAGCATACGCAGAAAATCTGGCCTCACACAGATGATACGTAATTAGAAAAGGGAAGACTATTCTAATAGTCTTTACAGATAATTGTGGATGTTCTTTTTTGATGCTACCCCAAAACCCGACAATTGGTAGTTTCCTAAATGTTAGCTGTAATGTAGAATCTGAAACCATATCAATTAACTTTTCATGATCTGTTACCTTAAAATCCATTGGTCTATCTTGTACTTTGAATGGATCTTTTATGCATGCATGATTTTCTAAATCAACATTGATCATTTGGAAAATAGTGGTTCACTGAGTTATGAAGATCTTCTAAATGTTGACACATTTCATCACACAATATGAAAAGATGACTTTGATTAATAGCATCACCAATCACCACATCAGAAAAGTCTTTTAAGTACTGGAAAGCTTGTCAAGCTCATGGTGGGGGAAACAGCATTTCTAAAACTTCTAATTTTCGCTTGAAAACTTAAAATTTTATCACAGGCAATAAATACTGTCAGTTGTTTTTCCTGAAGAGTCAGACTTGCTTCATTTATTCTGAGAAAGTGTTTGCAAATACCCAAGTCTGAATAACCATAGTTTGTTAGTCGCTCATTTAAGTAAAAATGGTACTCCATGAAAAAAATGGCTACTTCAGCCTACGACTCAAACAACTGGATTAAGTGCTTTTCTTCAAGACCACCATCAAGCTTCAGCATATGCAAGTGCTTTATGCATACTTCCTATTTTGTCACACAGAATATTAAAAAGATATCCTCATTTTTATTATTTTATTCACTATTTTTAATGTCTCTCCTTTCAACCTGTTTTTCAAACTAGGTTTACAATTAACATTTATACCAGCAGTTCTTTGTTCCACCTACATATCAACATACCCAACAATGCTGGGTATTGTAAATGGGTTGAATGGTGGCTCCCAAAAAGATATGTCCATGTCTTAAACCCCAGAACCTGTGAAGGTAATCTTATTTGGCAAAAAGGTCTTTGCAGATGAAATTAAGTTAAAGATCTCATGATGAGATCATCCTGGATTAGCTGGGTAGCCCTAAATCCAATGACAAGTTTCCTTATGAGACAAAAAAGAAGACAGACATAGCAGAGAAGACTATGTGAGACTGGAGTTATGCAGACACAAAGAATGCCTACAGCCACCAGAAGGTGGAAGAATGAATGAAAGAATTGTCCCCTGGAACCTTCAGAGGGAACACAGTCCTGCCAACACCTTGATTTGGTACTTCTGGCCTCCAGAAATGAGAGAATAAAAATGTTTCTTTAAGCCACCAAATTTGTGATAATTTGTTACAGCAGCCCTAAAAAATAAATACAGGTATGCACTGGTATTTCTTTACGATTTTTATGCCCTGATTACTAATGAAGTTGAACATCTTTTCATATGTTTATTGACCATTTGGAGGTCTTCATTTGTGAAGTGTCTGTTCTTTCATCTATTTTTTTAATGTGGTTTTCATTTTATTATTGATTCATAGGAGTTGCTTACATATTCTTGATACTATTCCTTTGTCAGTCATGTGTTGCAAATATCTTATTTTGTTGTTTTACTTTATGTGTATTAATGAACAGCAATTCTTAATTTATTGAAGACAAATTTATCAATCTTTCTTTTAGTGATTTTTGCTTGTATAACATGTTAAAGACATCTTTCCCCCTACTTGATGTCATATATTCTCTTATAGTCTTCTAAAAGTTTTAATTTTCACATTTAAGCATTTCTTTCCCCCTTGAGATGGCTCTTTTTATATTGTCATGTAAGGATCCAACTTCATTGTAAGGATGCAACTTCATTTTTTCCTCCCACAAAAATTTATTAGAAAGTCCCTCCTTTCTTTGCTAGTCTGCAAAGCTACCTGTGTTGGAAGCCAACTTTCCATATATGTGCGGGTCTTTTTCTGGGCTGTTGCATGGTCTATTTGTCTATCTCTGTGCAAATATCATATTGTTTTAATTATTATACTCTCAGAAGTCTTGATATGTGATAAAGTAAGTCCTGCATTTTGTTCGTTCTTCTTTAGGCATGTCTTTGCTTTTTTGGTCCTTTGCTCTTTCATATAAATTTTAAAATGAACTTATCAGACCCTATGAAGAAATCTTGCTGGGTTTCTGATTTAAATTGTTTAAATCTACAGATAAGTTCAGATAAGTTAAATCTATCTGTGAATATGGAAAATCTTTCTATTTTGGTCTTCTCTCATGTGTCCTAATAAAATTCTAAATTTTTCTCCATAAAGATCTTGTATACTTTTTGTTAAATTTATTCCTAGGTACTTCATATTTTTTATTTCTATTATAAATGGTCTCTCTTTTAAAAATTAGACTTTTCTAACCAATTTCTGCTGGTCTGTAAACATGCAGTTGAGTTTTGTTAATGGATTTTATATCCAGCAACCCTGCTAAACTCACTTATTAATTCTAATAACTGACATGTAAATGCTGGATTTTCTACCTGTATAGCCTTATCATCTGTAATAATAAGAGTTTTGCTTCGTCCTTTCACTCCTTAGAAGAAAATGAGCATCTTTGACTAATTTCCAAATTCAAAAGGAAAGCTTTCTATGTTTTATCACTAAGTATGATGTCTGTTATAGGTCTGGTTTTTTGTTTTTGTTAATAGATATCCTATATCGAATAAAGAAAGTTCCTTTCTACTGCTACTTTGATCTGAGATTTATTTGTTTTATTACAAATGCTTTTTGGATTTTATCAAGTGCCTTTTTTGAATCCATTGAGATATGTAATTTTTCTCCTTTAATCTGTTTAAGTAATTCACCACATTATCAATTTTTTAATATGTGTTAACCCGCCCCCCCCGCCACCCCGGGTCATGTAATAACCCGTTTCCATTTCATGGGATTTACCCACTTCTTCTAAGTTTTCAAGTATATTAGCATAAAGTTATTCACAATATTCACTTATCTTTCCAATTTCTCTAGCATTTGTAGTTACATCACCTTCTTCACCCTTAATCATTCCCGTTATTTTTTGCTGAGGAAGATTCGCCCTGAGCTAACATCTGTTGCCAATCTTCTTTTTTTTTCATATGTGAGCTGCCACAACAGCACGGCCACTGACAGATGAGTGGTGTAGGTCTGCACACAGAAACTGAACCCCGGGCCGCTGAAGCAGAGCACGCTGAACTTAACCACTAGGCCACTGCGGCTGGCCCTATCATTCTCATTTTTTAAAATAATGAAGTATATCTTTCAGTTATGTTAGGCTTTAGTTTGTAGTCTGAACAGAGTTAGTATTTATTACCTTTCTGTTCTGTTCTCTGGTCCTCCAGTTCTTTCTTAGGAGTTTTAGGTTTTATTAATTCTTTGTCCCAAGCAGCCAAAGCTTGTTTTTCCATTTGACGAATTTCTGCTTCCTCTGCATCTAAACGTCGCTTCCACTCTAGTAGCTCCTCTGCGTGTTGTCGCCGTTGCATTAGTTTTTGCTCTCGCTTTGTCAGAAACCTACGGTCACACCATGAAGAACAGTGAGAGGACAAATCTATAGGCAGAAATCACTTTGAAAGCTCTATCACTCATTGCCTTATCAACAAGCTGTGTAAAAACAGGACATTCATACTACTCCTCTGAGAAAAGTCTGAGATAATAGAAGCTTTGATGAGTCAACTTATTCAGAAAATGAGAGAATTTATGTTTTGCTTCTAATTGTAAGATTAGCAAAAGAAAAATAGTGGTAAATTCAGAAAAAAAAATCTTCAGAATATCTTGAGAACCACAACTGATAATACTTAACTTATATATTCATTTTTCATAGGTGATGCTTTTTCATAACAGAAGATATAAGGAATTTATTGTGAAGGCTCAGACCAGAAAACACACAAAATCAAAACAATAAAGACGAAAACAACAACAAAAAACAAACCCCAAAGCCCCCAAACAAACAAGCAAACAAAAAAAACATGTTCATGTCCCTTCCTGACTTGTATTTTCAAATTCAGTCTGGCTTTGCTTCAGGTATAGTGAGTTTGGTTCCCATTACCTAAGAGATGCAAAGTCAGGTGATAATCTGTTTTTCCTGGAGAGAACACTGAGCACCACAGTCAGATGCCTTATGCACATAAACATAACTCTTTATTTACTTGAGTAAAAGGATGCATCAAATGCCTCAAATTTCTCAATTTAACCTGATCCCTGAAATTAAATAGCCCAATATATCTTAGCTTCAAAGGGTTAGGAGAAATTACTAATTTAGGAAAAGTTATTTGAGTAATTAAAAAGCTACTATTAAATTCTCCTCAAATGTAGGTGCCACAGCTAAATAAAAGGTGGGCTGTTCATATTACTGGTGTTAGATCTGCAGTAGTAGCTAGTCGACAAAAACGCATTCACGCATCCAACAGACACTTAATAAAAAGCACAAGAACTGTCACTCCACTTCTTGAACAATCAGCAGGTCAAATTAATGTGGAAACAAAAAGGTAAAATCTCTGGGACATTTGACGAGAGGCCTCCAGGATGTTAGAAAAAAAAGCAAACAAAAAAAAACAAACAAAACAAACAAAAAGAACAGAGCATGCTCTATCAAAGAGTGCACTGAAAAAGGTGCAAAGTTACCTGACCAACTGGTTGTAGATATACAGCTGGAATTTGGGATGAAGGTTGGGAAAACAGACACTGAGAGAGGCCCAGTGATGAGACGTAAAGACAGAGAAGAAGTAGTGAACAGGAGAGCAGTGTCTACAAAATAAGGAGGAAGATTTTAAAACCAAGAGATCAAGAGGCAGAAAGGATGAGAAAGGGGAAGCACAAGAGCAGAGTGAAGAACTTTTAATACGCTTCCTGAATAACATTATAAGCTCCATAGTTAAAGCAAGTGTTACACTCTGTGTGACACAGAAAACATGTACTTTTATAGATCTTACCAATGATTTCTGAATAAACATGTCTTTCTTCTCAGATGTTGCTTAACCATCATCTATACTTTCAGGTAAATTTACTTCTTTGTGAATAAACTAATGAGAAGTACGGTGTGGAGCTATACAGGTTTTTCCATAAACTTTAACAGAGTACAACAATTATGGCTGTGAACCTAGTATATCAGCAATTCTATATACATATGTAATCCTGAGCAACTGATTTTTATATCTGTACCTTGTCATATATTTTAAGCTTGAAATTAAATCAAAAAGCACTACATTTGCCTTATTTAACCTTACCATCATGACCTAGTTTGAAAATAATAATTTAGAAAATCAATTTATAGTAAAAATACCTTGTTCACCTCTACAACATAAAATTTACTGCTAACAGGACCTACTGGAGGTATCTTGCTTTATATTTAACAAAGGCTCACTTAAATAATAATATTGAAATACAATACTCATTCTATAAAATATCAGGATGCATAATTAGGAATAAACTAAGCTAGTCCCAAAAAATACTGCCAGTAATAAAAAAAAAAAAAAAAGTGATGCTGTGGACAGTTCAATCATAAGGTTAAAGGTAAGATGAAAATTACATATGTTAAAAACCCCACTAGTTTCTCTTCTTTTTAAATAGTAAATAGATCATTATGTATATGAAAGGATAAATAAGTCTAGTTGGAAAGGTTAACTCTCTTTGACAGAGCATGCTTCTGTTCACATGCACACAACAATAACTTGTAGATCAAGGCAACATTTATTGCCTTGGAAGGGCAAGGAATAATATCAGTATGGCACAGAAGTGAGAAAATCTAGGTATAAATCCAGCCACTCATTTGCATTTTAAAAAGAATGTAGAATCTTGCCTACACGTATAGCTTTAGATAACAGACTATTTCGATGTCTGTTTCCCCACATACAACTCAATATTTCACCTTCCCTTCATTTACTCATCCACATACACACACACATACACACTCATATCTGGATTGCCTTGATTTTCTACACTGAAGTTCAAGTAAAAACAATGTTGCCAGATTTCAGTCAGACACTGCAATCTTCCTTGCCATTCTTTATGAATGTATAATAAGCTTATTTTGATGCTAATTATCAAAATATTATGCAAAAACAAATGTACTTGGCAAAAGATCCAAAAATCTATTCATAGCATTCAAATATCACCCACCCTCTTAAGTGTATAACTGCTAAATGCATGCATGACCTAGTACAAAAAGTAGAATATTGGAACATGTAAAATAAACTGTAAAAAAATACAATTTAAATTTTTTTGTCCAGCCCAATACAGAGAGTAATTTTCTCTATTAGAACAAGTACTGATCATTTATTTTTCATTTATAAAGATTATTAAGCATATTCAAAAGCTCTAGGTTAGAAATGAACATCAAAAGAAATGGCTAATAGAAAAGAAAATAGTTTAAGAAATAGGGTAAAAGTTTAACTTATAGCTAGAACTTCTTCCCAGAAACATATATTCCTTATTTAATATACATACGTTCTAGAAATAGAGTGTCCTTTACCAGTTGAATAAAATAAAGTTGAGATAAAAGAAGCAGCACTTCACACAAGAGTTAACAATCCTTCAACACTGCTGCATAAGTAAGAAATAAAATTTGTGAACGATGGAGAAATAAATGTCTACTAATACACTTTATGGTTGGTGTCAAGGCATTCCTCAACAAGACCTCTGATGGTAACAGAACACCGGACTAGGATTAGATATATAAAAGACTTAATTTAGTATGGAAATCATTATGTTCCTATAATGTTTAATCTTAAGAAATTCATGAGTAATTAATTCACTTTTAAAGTCACACTTTCACACTCTAAATTTGAGCTGTGCAGCTGTTCAACTCCAGTAATCAGCCATTGAGTACTTTCCAAGTTTCAACAAATACTATTTAGAAGGGTGAGTTTCTACTGAGATAAGTTTAAGTCATCACTGTAGATTTTTTAAAAAACCTATGAGGTTGAAAGCAGATATGCTAACTTAATACAACTTTAACTTTAGCTGGCTAAAGTCCAGAAAGCAGGGTTCTATTTCTAGTTCTGCCATTATGCAACGTGTGTGACCTGGGACAAATTACTTAATCTCTGTGGGCCTCAATTTCCTCCTGTAAAACCAAAGGAGTATACCAGATGACCTTCCTAAGAGCTCTTCTAGTTCCAACATTTTATAATTCTTTCTCTATGCAAGTACCTCCTCACCCTTTTTAATACCTCAACACACTGCAAGACCATGTGACATAAATAAGAACCTTTTTTTTCACTGAGCTAATTGTAGACTGTGTTCCCACAGATTATAAAACCATACTATAATTTGAAAGAGCAAAATTATGATCTAAATTTTAAATGAAACTTCCAGTTCTAAAATCATTTGATTCTGAAAGATATTAAACAAAATAAAGAAAAACTTAATACCTTAAATCATGTTAAAATTCTTTCTGGATCTAAATTCTTTAATCCTACATTGTTATAAGTAAAAACGAAACACAGTGCTTTAAATCTTAAAATAGATTAATTCTTTCAAGTCCTTAAGCATTTTTAATGATATTCAAAAAGGAAGATAAATGACGATATGGATGGTATTGACCTAAAAGAAAATGCAGTCTAGTATTTTTTCCTACAGTAAAATCTATTCTATTACTTAAAATTGTCTAATAATTTTCATATACTTAAATAAATAAAATAGCACAGGTACGTTATTCCTAAACTAGAAAGAAAATAAAAACACATTATCAGATTACCAGGATTTATTCAGCTGCTACACTTAGTCTAGAACCCTAGGAAAATTCTATTTCTAATTTAAGGCAATGATATTTAACACATTACTTAAAATTCTAATTAAAATGTCTTCTTAAATTGAATATCAAAAGCCTTCCCTTGCAAATCCTTAGCTTTTTAAACTCAGCAGATTAATGGTGAAGATTTCAATATTGATCAGACACCATAAATATTTTTAGACAGAGCTATGTCATACAATATTTATCTGTTTAACTTTTTGAATATTTAAAACCAAATTAAGTTAATTTGTTCCTTTAACAGTTTCTAAGCTGAGAATACTTAAAATATTTGAAAGGAATGTTTCAGAAGTTTTGTGACTATACTCTTCATTTTTCTATGCTACTTTGGTCTGCAATGGTCAAACCAAAAAACAACTATATTGTGGGGGTTTTTTTTTTCACTTCTTCATATGTTATAAAGAAGTTTCTAACTCAAAAACACTGAACACTCACCCACGAAAATTTCCTTGATATACTCTTTTCAGTAAAAATTTCTTCCTCTTCTGAATTTTCTTAGCAATTGATTTATATACACTTCTCTAAAGGAACCTGACACTTGTTCTTTCTTCCACCTAGACTATAAGTTTTTTGAGGGCGGGGTTTACGTTGGATTCATCTTCATATCCCTCAGAACCTAGCACATTTACAAATTTCCCAATAAATAATTGCCAAGAGAATAAGTATATAAGTAATCAATAATATGGAAGAACAAGCTGCTATTGACAAATAAAAAAAAAAAAAGCACTGTTTCCTATTTAACACTTAAAGATGAAGATAAGACCATTCTTTCAGTGTTTCATTTGCTCAGAAAACAATTTTCCTGAAATGGAACTGGCAAAATAACAGGAAAAGTCGATTGCATGGTGTTTTTTTCATGAATATCTATTTCACAATTACAGGCAATCAAGTTAATATTGTAAATAACACCCCTCACAGTAATAAAAAAAAAAACTCAGATTTTGTTTACCATTATTACCAAAAGACTGAGGGCTATTCAGTCTGTGGCTTTTGCAAACATATTTTCATTATTATTAATCTTTTTCATAGTTTAAACTTCTTTTGCTTTTCACTATAGTAGAAATGGAAATTATTTGTAAAATGTCAACTCAATAAAGAGGTCAAGAAAAGCCACAGATTAAAAATGTAAATTTTAACAAAGGCATTATTGTCTCCATAAAACATTAAAGAAGGAAATCTTTCATTGTAGCCAATAGTTTGATCACTTCAGAAAAATATTTGTCATAGAACCAGAGCTCAGAAGGTTAACAATAAGCAGTAATATATAATGAAAAAGTTCCCCCAAAAGTTAGCTAAACTTAATGAGAAGGATGACTACTTTTTGACAGGTGTTTTATATCAATAAAATAGGAATCTCCTGGAAGACTGCCTTTGCAAATCTACAGAACAAATAATAATGCAAAGGCTCAAATGATTTTGTTAGTAGGTGTCTACTGTAGCAAATGGTTACAAAATTAACTACTTATTTATTGAGCTGACATTCCAACATTGTTGAAGGAGATTTAATTCTACAGCTTTGGTGATCTGAATGGTATTTAAAAACTAGTTTTCACATTACTTTGTTCTGGAGATCAAAAACTATTGCATAACAATAATTTTCCTTTTTAATGCACGGCTAATTTTGGAAAATACTCCAGTTCATCCTCAAATTTCAGCACCATCATCCTAATATTAAAGCTAATTTCTTTGCCACCACTGTCCTTACTCCATCCCTATCCACAAACACAACTGCATTGCTTCAAACAACAAATCAAGAAGTCACTGAATGCTTCAAGATCTCTTTGTTTGTACAGTTTGTATAGTTCTCTTTGACAAACTTCTCAAAAATTTACTACAGTAGTTGACAAAGGAAGGTAGAACAGTAATACAAAAATTGAGAAAAAAATTAAAACTTAGAACAAAGTCAAATTCAACCTTGAATTTGTTATTTAGGATTTTTAAAGCTTTAACCAAATCTGAAATAAACACCACATAAACTGACTAACCTCACAGATTAGGATTTGCAGTTTCTTCTACAGATGTGATGAAAATTATTAGAATATTATTCACGGAGACCAGCAATGAAGATCTTACTGACATAGACAAGCAAAGGATCAATGAAGAAATTATCCCTGAAGCTGTCTTTCGTCCAATATCTACCATTCTAAGACATTTGGATGCAGATATAAAATGTCAAATCAGTTAACAAAATTTATGAGAGAGATTATTCTGAATGCAAAGATCTCTGGAGCAATAGGGCATGCCTATACCGCTATTGGAAAATTTTATCAGGAAACAAAGAAAGCATCTTTAGTCTAAATTTCAATAAATTTTTATTTGAAAAAGACTGAGTCTATCTTATGGAAATCATCCTAAAGGAATATTCACACATTTGTAAACACTTGGTTTCATCCTCTTTTATTTAAAAAATTTGTATTTATTTTTAAAAATATTTTTGTAATCAATTTAGGTATTTTTAAGCTATAAAATATCACTTTTAAGGTAATGAAATACAATTTCAGTTAAGCAATGAAGGGCCAATATATAACATTGTACCTACAGTAAAAAAGGTTTGACTTACAACTGCTTCACTGTTCAGAAACTAATTAAATCAAGGTTGATGTCTCACATAAATACAGAGCGTTATTAAATTTGGTGATGTGTGGTACAATGCCAAAGGATATATCAAGATACAACTTCAGTTCAATCTGTGGTTCAAATTGCTAACTTAAAATAAATTAGCAGTCAATAAAAATTTTTAATGGGTCCCTCTTCCATATTTAAAGAAGGTAGAGGTTATAAAGTCAGGGATAGGGTCCACGAGCAGCTAACTTACAAGTGTATTTAATTAAATGTATACCTAAAAGAGTAAACTCACACATAAATGTCATTTTATATGGTCAAAGCTGACATACAACTCAGCTACATCTAAGTAGGAGTAGCTTTCTTTAAAAGAGCCTTTAAAAATTACTTAGAAATGTTTTAGACGAATGGTAGACTGCTAAATCATTCAACATCCCAGGAGAATTTCAGTCTTTCTGGTTTCAACTGAGCAATCCACACTTACTCACAGGTTAAAATTTCACTCTTCTATCTGAATAAGCCTGAAAGCTGTCAGAGCCACAGGATGAGATCTCAGGATATACCATTCATTGCTCCCCCAAGTCAGCAGAAATGTCCTCAGATTTCAGAGAAGGTAAAAATTTCACACTTACTCATAACTTTTAATAAGAGAAAGAAGAAAACATTATCATGGGTATATGTGCAAATACTACTTTGTTTTTAGAACAAGAAACCCCGCTGTATTAAAAACAAAAAAATTTGTTTTATAAATAAGACCTATAGTTAAATGACTTCTAAGTTGATCTAATAATTCTGCTAAAATGCTACTGAATCCATAAAATATTATGTTGTATCAATCTAATCTAATGAAGTACATTAAAAATATTATTTGTTGTTACTACTTTCAATGTAAACAGGAGATATTTATAAATATGAATTACTTTTCATCCATGCGGCTTCTCATTTTCTTCAGTTTCTGCATAATGCTGCTAGTTTCACTGCTGGAGATTGAAATGGGGGAAGGACTGCGGGTCTCCAAGTCAGTTGGACCAGGACTGGTTGCCTTATTATCCTTTGTACCACCATCACTATGAGAGTCCTGCAAACAAAAGGGGGTACAGTGTCATAATTTTATTGGAATTTAAGATCTCAAAGTGATTTTAAACACTGTCATTTCAAAATTAAGTTTATCCTCAAAACAGTATTTGTGAAACAGCTGAAATTAAGCTATTACTTAAAGGACAAAATTATATCACACATTTAAAAATGACTAAAATACAAATTTTATGTTATATGTATTTTACATAAATGTATATACAATCACAAAGTGTAATAATTTTTTTAAATGTAAAAAAAAATCCAAAAAATTTCTTCTACTATAAATCTAGTATCTCAATGTCCTAATTTTTTAAAATTGAACCACTCAAAAGGAATACAAAATTAGACACTATAGCTATATAAATCATACGTACAAACACAAAGAATAAAGGGAACACCTAACCTATTTTAATCATACTGAAGGATGGATCTTTTTCCTTTAAATATTTCCTAAGGAAAACAATATTTTCACAAATTAAAAGTGTACAATGAAAACATCTTGGAACTATTGGTTTAATCACTATATTATTTCTGATGAGCAAAAAGTAAAACTTTAATTGCTTAGTAAGTCTTTCCCACTAATAGTAATTTATTCTCATAACTTTTCAGGGACAATCATGACTGTTTTTATTTTGTGAACAATACAAACAAAGCAGAGTATTTCTCATTCCCTTTTCCCTTCCTGAATGATTCAGTCTTCAAGTCATTAGATGGAACAGAACAATGTAGGCGTCCATGCAGGGGTGGAGGGAGACAAGGTAGCCAAGAGTAGGGTGTCCCAACCTGAGTGGGATGAAGAAGGCATCTAATGCAGGAGGGTGGCCTGTGTGGGGAGACAGAGCCCAAGTGGGGCAAGAGGATGTCCATATGGGAGTGTTCCTACACGGCAAGTTATAAGCCCAAAGAGAGTGAGGTGGCATTCCTACAGAGAAGAGAATCCAAAGAGGGTAAGGAGGGTATAAAGAAGGGGCAAGGAGATGGGGAATAGCCTGACTTGGGAAGTCAGAGCCCAAGTGGGGTGAAAAGGGCATTCACATGAAGAAAGGGGTGGCTGTGGTTATGGGAGATGGGTTACATAGGAGGAATGATCATATCATTAACTATATTAAGGAAAAGGGTAATCAGTTATCTGTCAGAGAAGGAAGTTCCAAAAGAGAGAAAACTAGAATGAATCTTATGGGGTTGGATTGGAAACGGAAGGATCAGTATGAACTCCTGATTTATCAGCATGAACTCAATACAGACATACTATATGTATTATACATACACAAATAAGTATACATGTAAAATGTATGTATTTATCTACATCTATATATATTTATATATTCGTTAGATTTGTTGCTTAGGAGGCGCAAAACCTGAATAGCAATGAGCATGCCTAGCACCAGGTCTTGGTTTCTAAATAACTTTCCTCCTTGGAGAAACGGCTGATTCCAAGGCTGGGGCAGGTTTAAGTACACGATGACCCTGAAACATCTTGTTCCAGAAAACACAGACGTGCTCAAAGACTGATAGGGACGTGTCAAAAGGACACAGAAACCTGCTTGAAGAGGCTCCCAATGGCCCAATTTGGGACAAAGTGAGCATCAAAACAAATAATGATAGTAACAGATTGTAATGCTGAGTAAAATAGGAATCCATGAGTCAATCCTGATATAAATAAAAGAATAAATTTAGGCCGGCCCTGTGGCTTGGTGGTTAAGTGCGCGCGCTGCGATGCTGGTGGCCCGGGTTCGGATCCCGGGTGCGCGAGGCACCACTTCTCCGTTCATCCTGAGGCCGAGTCCCACATACAGCAACTAGAAGGATGTGCAGCTACGACACACAACTATCCACTGGGGCTTTGGGGGGAAAAATAAAATAAATAAAATCTTTAAAAAAAAAAAGAATAAATTTAAGTTTGATGAAGAACAGGAATTTATGCAGTTTCAAAATACCTCCGTGCAAAGTACTTATTAATTACAAAGGGAAAGAAAGTAACTTTACAGTGAAATCTGGTAGATACCACCTTAATCAAGTTAACATCATCAGTAATGGGATAAATCAAAATCAGGGGCCACCTGATCGAATGCAATGAGAAGAACATCACATCACTTCTGTGATATTGCTGCCAAAGATGCACAACCTGAATCTAATTATGAGGAAACATTAGACAAACCCAAGTTGAGGAACATTCTACAAAATAACTGGCATGTAATTTTCCAAAGTGTTAAGGTCATAAGAGTCAAGGAACTTTTCTAGACTGAAAGAGACTAATGAGATATGAAAACTAAATGCAATATGTGACTCTGAACTTACCTTTTGATATAAAGAACATTATTATGAAAATTGGAGAAACTTGGAGTCTGCAGATTAAATGGTAGTAATGTATCAATGTTAATTTCTTGGGAACATACTCTCAACTAAGGAAAACATAGTTCTTTGTGTTTGAAATTTTCTATAAATTTGAGATTGTTTCAAAATTTAAAGTGTATTTTAAAAATCAAAGCAGAGAATATCAGAGATGTACTTAACTATACTGCTATATAGTCTGGGTTTCCCAACACTACAGTGATACTTTACAGTATCTTAGAACAGGTCCAAATTTGGTTTTTGTCTGACTATCTCCTTTGAATCTTATATCATTATATTAATATTGGATAGCTGCAATAAGTAACATATAAAGAGCAAAAATAGTCTCTCCCATTAATTCTGAAGAATATATTTGGATTGATAAGCAAGAGCAAGGCTCTCTGTCCCAACTGAGTTTATAAATGGAAAATATTTTTAAACTAATTTATGAACCATGTGTCCCTTTCAAAACTTGAGTATTCTATGAGAAAAAAAATAAAAACACTCACTATACATAAAGGCACATACATAGAACTTTATCCTAGTTCATTATTGTATCACAGTGTTAGAATGAACATACCCATCATATTAGAAGATGAGGCAGGGTTAGGTATTAGCAAGAAACAGGAGGCAGAATATAAAGTAATAACTTCATGCAATTTACCAATTTATTCTCCCCTGCAGACTTTAACTTCTCCTGTAGTTTTATGGTGGTCTGTCGGATCCTTTCTATCTCCTCCTGCTGTTTAAGAATCAGTTGTCTTTCCTTCCGAGCCGCCTTATTGGCTTCCTGAAGACGTTTAATTTCTGCCTAAGGTTTAAAGAGTTAGGAGAGGGATTGAGAATTGGAGGAGACGAGTCCAAAGCAATATTTTAAAAAGAAAATCCAATCATCACATATAGAAAAAATAAATATAGTATTTCAAGATAAAAGTAATAACATTTAAAAGTTTTAAAGTAGTGAAGGAGGAAAAAGTCACATAACTCCATCACTCTAAAATAATTTAACATGATCCCTTAATTTAAATAATTGTAATTATAACAGACTGATAATTTCATATCTTTTTTAAATTTAATATGCCCTTTACATTTTTCCATAGTGCTACTCCATCTTTACACCGTCTAAAAGTTGCGTATCAAGTAAACTAATTAATGTAACCATTATCCTATTGCTAAAGTGTTAGGCCCCTTATTTTTTACCATCTCAAATAATGCTTTAATACCTATAATTATTTCATACTATGGATTTGTTCCTTTAGGAGAGATTCCAAAAAGTAGGACAAACAAGGCAAAGAGAATGAATCATTTTATAGCCCTTAAAATAATTTTAAAAATTGTTTTAAAAAAAGAATTGTCTCCACTTAAAACGCTACCAGATCATTTAAGACTACACTGCACCAAACTCTCTCTCTCTGCACAGGATGTTATTAATTTTTATGTTGCTAATTAAATGGGCAGAAGATGATACACTTCACTGTTAATAACTGTTAAAATTTAACAGAGACTGTTTTTTCTCCAGAAATTTGTTTTAATCTGTTTTCTTATCAATAAAACATAATAAATACATTAATAATTTGTTACTTATAATTTCTTTTAATCATATTTGATTTTTTCAAACTATCTGAAAATGCAGAAAAGTGTATAATAAACATCTAATTTCCAAAATCCCAGATTGACAACTATCAATATTCTCCTAGTCATATTTTCTCCTAGTCTTTAATTTTGTAAAGAAAGAAAACATTACAGATAAAACCAGTCTGCAATTCCCTGCCCCAACGTCTTAGAGGTAACCACTGTCATGGTACATATCTTTCCAGCACATTCTTTTTAAAGTCTTCTACAAATATTTGTACTTATCTGCAAAAAAACATGTACTATTTGATGTGTATGTTTTTAAATATTTTATAAATAATATCACACATACATATTTTCAACTATGCTTTATTTACTAGACATTGCTTTTGATATCTCTCTGTGTTGATTTACACCTAAATGCTGCATAGCATTACATTGGAGGTATGCACATTTCATTCATCCATTACCCCTATGGTTGGATAAGATTGCTGTCTACTATTACAAACAATGCTACAATGAACAGCCTTCCACTTTTTGTCTCGTTGGGCACATGTATAAATTTCTCTGAAGTAGCAGTTCTTGAAGTACTCCAAGTCCATGGGCCTTTGGGGGTCCCCGAGATTGTTTCAGGAGACTTTCAGGGTCAAACTATATTCATAATACTAAGACATTATTTGCCCTTTTTCACTTTCATTCTCTCATGAGTATACAATGGCATTGTATGCATTTTTAAGAAAATAACTATATTTTCCCAAATAAAAAAAAAATTTAGTGAAAAGAGAAGTATTTAGATTTTTGCAAATTTCTTTATTGTCTGGCTGGATTTTTTTTTTTTAACATCATGCATTGGTCATTTGGAATGTTAGTGCATTTCCAAAATGTTAGTTCAATCTTCTAAATGTTGACATATTTCCTTATACAATATCAAAAAATCACTTTCACTAATATCACCACTGATCTCAAAAGAAAAATTCTTTAGTGTTGGGTGTTAGAAATTTTTCAAAATTCTGACTTTTGATTGAAAATTTGAATTTTATCATTGGCAGCAAATACTGTCAGTTGCTTTCTTTGAAGTTACAGGCATACTTTGTTCATTTTTGAGAAAATGACTGTCAAATACCCAAATCTGAATAAGCACAGTTTAAGTAATTTTTCAGGTAAACAAAAAGGTATTCCATGAAAAAAAGTGGCTAGTTTCAGCATGCAGTTCAAACAACTGCACAAATGCTTTTCCTTGAGTTAATCACTGTACTCTGGTATCTAGCAAAAGTGTTCAAATGTGGGCTTCCCATTTCTGTCACACAGAACATGAAAAAGCACTCAAAGCTCAACACTCAATAAAATTAATAATTTTTACCACTTAATCAGGACATTCTTCAGTGAAACTAGCTTTTTTCAGCTGCAAGTCTGTGGCAGTGAAAAATACAACTACTAGTACACTTTGGTGCTACTGCCCCAATTCGTGCTAAGGCACCAGCAGTTTTACCCATTGTCTTTGCACCATTTAGTGAAAATGTCAACACATGAGAAGAGCAAATTCATATCCCACTATCATTATGAATATAGTTTTGACCTCCCTGACCCATGAAAGGGTTTCAGGGACCCCCAGAGTTCCACAGAGCACATGATGAAAATTGCTACTAGCTTAGGCCTGAATTTCTGAACCAATTAATGTATAAATTCACCCAATCTGAGCCTAGAAGAAAGAAGAGGGGGATTTTTGAAAGGGATTCTAGGGGGAAAAGGTTTGCTTCTCCCTAAGAATAAGTCATAAGGTTGTACAAACAAATTGTTCACTTTAAAATGGTTAATAGTATAAGTGAATTATTCACTTTAAAATGGTTATTTTATGTGAACTTCACCTCAAAAAGAAAGAATAAGACACAGGAAAATACGTTTTTTAGATACAGTTGTGCAAAGATATGTGGCCAAGTTGCTTATAGCCATCTTACTACCAGTCAAAATAATTCTTATTGATACAACTGCAATAAATATCTTATACTTTGGTGCTTTTATTTCTGTAGGGCAACTTTCCAGAGGTAGCCAGTTGGATCAAAGAGTATTTTTCGCACATTTACTTAAAGAACATTCTGAAGTACTACAAACATAATATGCAGAAAAATTAGTCACTTAAACACCCACCACTGGGATTGAACAGTTTGCCACATTTGTTTCAAATCTCTGTTTCAACATAAATCATTACAGATGAAACTAAACCCTACCCCAATCTCTTCTTCCATTTCCTCCCCACAAGTATATCATTCCTACATGTGCTTTTGTACTTTTTGATGCATGAGTAATGCCACAGAACATACATTACTGTTTGGTGACTTTTAAAAACTTACAAGAATGATACCAAACTATACATTTTCTTTTGCATCTTGTTTTTCTGTAAAAACGAATATTATGATTTTTGGTAAATGAAGATCTACTGCTGTACTGTTCAATATGGTAGCCACTAGCTACATGTAGCTACTTATATTAAGATTAATTAAAATTAAATGAAATTAAAATTTCAGTTTCTCAGTTGCATTAGCCGCATTTTAAGTACTCAAAAGCTACACGTGGCTAGTAGCTACTGTATTGTATAGCAAAGATACAGAACATTTACCATGATTTCAGAAATCTCTCTTGGACAGTGCTGGTATCTAATGAATTCATTTTCCTGCAGTATTATATTTTCTTGCAGGAACATGCTTTGTTTCATCTATTCTCTTACTGAAGAAATTAAGCTGTTTCCATTTTCCCCTGCACATGTGTGAAAGTTTCTCTAGGATATATACCAAGACATAGAACTGCTGAATCATATATTATATGTGCCTTCATTCTAACTAAATATAGTTAAACTGCTTTGAAAGTAGTTACACCAATTAACACCCCTACCAGCTACATAGAACTGGAGCAACAAAACTGGAGACTTAAGAGGCTTCAAATTCATAGTGTCCCCTTCAAAGTATTTGCCAATTCTGAAGCAGCACAGACAGAAAGCTAAGGAGCTAAGCCAGAAAACTCTCAACAGCAGAACAGAAATCTTGTCTCTTGTGCTGGTAAAACAGGTTTACCTGACTTTCAACTGAAATCCCTGGCGGGTGACAACCTAGGGTCAATGCAAAGCAGAAGTAGACTGAGGCTTACCAACTCTGCAACCCAATGCTAACCCAGCCAGTCCTTAAATGGATTAAAGTGAACAGCAGACCACTCTAACTGCATAGCAGAGGAAAGGATAAACTTCTCTGGGGGAAGATAACATCATCTGGAGCCTTTGTAGTTATTTACACATGGTGTCCAGCATTCAGTAAAAAATTACTAGGCATGCAAAGAAAAAGGATCATACAATAACAAAAAATAAAAACCGACAATATTAGCAGATGCACGGATGTCCAAATATTGGAGTTAGCAGACAAGGAAGTTAAAATGACTATGAATAATGTGTTCAAAAAAAATACAGGAAAAGATAAAAAAAACAGATGAAAAGGTAGAAAATTTCAGCAAAGAATTAAAATCTATAAAAAAGAACAAAAGGGATATTATAAAACTAAAAAAGAGTCAAAAAAAGAACTCATCAAGGGCCAGCCCCGGTGGCCTAGTGTTTAAGTTTGGCGCACTCTGCTGCGCCGGCCCAGGTTTCGTTCCCTGGCATGGACCTACACCACTCATCTGTCAGCGGCCACGCTGTTGTGGCGGCTCACATCCAAAAAGAGGAAGATGGGCAGTGGATGTTAGCTCAGGGAAAATCTTCCTCAGCAAAAACAAAAGAAAACACAAAGAACTGATCAAATGGATTTAACAGCACACATGACAGTGAGAAGATATAACTGATGAATTCAAAGACAGGTCCATAAAAACTTTCCAAATTGAAGCATAGTATTTTTTTTTATTGTTTTAAAGAATGATATCAAAACAAAACAGAGCAGAAGAGAGATGTGCTAAATGGTCAAAAGGTCTAACGTATGTCTACTTGGAGTCTCTGAAGGAAAAGGAGGAGGGAATGGGGCAGAAGCAACACACAAAGAGATAATTTTCAAAACCTGATGAAATACAACAAACAACAGATTCAAGCTCAGCAAACCCTAAATAGTATGAATACAAAAGAAACCACACCTAGGCACATCATAGTAAACTGCTGAAGAATCAAAGACAAATTTTTTAAAATCTTAAAAGTAGCCGTCAAAAGAACAAAATTAAGACAGTCAACCTCTCCACAAAAACAATGGAAACCAGTAAACAATGGAAAATAATATCATTAAAAATGCTGAAAAAAAAATAATTCCATAGCTAGAAAAAATACTCTTCAAAGATGAAGGTGAAACAAGCACATTTTCAAACTAGTAAAAACTGAATGTGTTATCAGCAAGCATGCAACAGAATATTAGATTCATCAAAATTAAAAATTGTGTGCTTCACATGTATTGGAAGAATAAACATAGTTAAAATGTCTATATTACCTAATGCAATCTACAGATTCAATGCAATCTCAATCAGAATCCCAGTGACATTCTCCACGGAAATAGAAAAAAGAATACTAAAATTTATATGGAGCAACAAAAGACCCCGAATAGCCAAAGCAATCCTAAGAAAAAAGAACAAAGCTGGAGGCATCACAATCCCTGACTTCAAAACATACTACAAAGCAATAGTAGTCAAAACAGCATGGTACTGGTACAAAAACAGACACACAGATCAATGGAACAGAACTGAAAGCACAGAAATAAAACCACACATATACGGACAGCTAATTTTCGACAAAGGAGCTAAGAACATACAATGGAGAAAGGAAAGTCTCTTCAATAAATGGTGTTGGGAAAACTGGACAGCCACATGCAAAAGAATGAAAGTGGACCATCTGCTATCGCCATTCACAAAAATCAACTCAAAATGGATCAAAGACCTGAAGGTGAGACCTGAAACTATAAATCTCATAGAAGAAAATATAGGCAACACACTATTTGACATTGGCCATAAAGGAATCTTTTCGGATGACATGCCTACCCAGACTAGGGAAACTAAAGAAAAAATAAGCAAGTGAGACTTTATCAGATTAAAGAGCTTCTACAAGGGGCTGGCCCCGTGGCTTAGTGGTTGAGTGCGCGCGCTCTGCTGCTGGTGGCCCGGGTTCGGATCCCGGGCGCGCACCGACGCACTGCTTCTCCGGCCATGCTGAGGCCGCGTCCCACATGCAGCAACTGGAAGGATGTGCAGCTATGACATACAACTATCTACTGGGGCTTTGCGGGGAAAATAAATAAATAAAATCTTTAAAAAAAAAAAAAGAGCTTCTACAAGACAAATGAAACCAGGATCAAAATGAATAGACAACCCACCAGCTGGGAGAAAATATTTGCAGAACATATGTCTGACAAGGGGTTAGTCTCCATAATATATAAAGAACTCACACAACTGAACAACAAAAAACAAACAACCCGATCAAAAAATGGGCAGAGGAAATGAACAGACACTTCTCCAAAGAAGATATACTGATGGCCAATAGGCACATGAAAAGATGTTCAACATCACTAATCATCAGGGAAATGCAAATCAAAACAACACTAAGATATCACCTCACGCCCGTTAGAATGGCTATAATCACCAAGACAAAAAACAACAAATGTTGGAGAAGATGTGGAGAAACAGGAAGCCTCATACACAGCTGGTGGGAATGCAAACTGGTGCAGCCTCTATGGAAAACAGTATGGAGAGTCCTCAAAGAATTAAAAATAGAGATGCCCTAAGATCCAGCCACCCCACTACTGGGAATCTATCCAACGAACCTGAAATCAACAATCCAAAGAGGCTTATGCACCCCTGTGTTCATTGCAGCATTATTCACTCTAGCCAAGAAGTGGAAGCAACCTGAGTGTCCCTCGACCGACGATTCGATCAAGAAAATGTGGTATACATATACAATGGAATACTACTCAGCCATAAAAAAAGACAAAATCGTCCCATTTGCAACAACATGGATGGGCCTGGAAGGTATTATGTTAAGTGAAGTAAGCCAGAAGGAGAAAGACAAACACTGTATGATCTCACTCATATGTGGAATATAAACCAACACATGGACAGAGAAAACTGTGTTGTGGTTACCAGGGGCAATGGGGGTATGGGGTGGGCACAAGGGGTGAAGGGAGTCATATATATGGTGATGGACAAACAAAAATGTACAACCCAAAATTTCACAATGTTAAAAACTATTAAAACATCAATTAAAAAAAAAAATTGTGTGCTTCAAAGCACACTATTAAAGTGAAAACACAACCCCCTACAATGAGAGAAAATATTTGTAAATCTAGTCTTTATTCTACTTTACAAACAGAAAGCTACTGTAACACTGTAAAAAGTTATTTACCTATTTTAACTAAGAAAGAATTTTAAGTTATTTTTTTTTGTGAGGAAGATCAGCCCTGAGCTAACATCCATGCCAATCCTCCTCTTTTTGCTGAGGAAGACTAGCCCTGAGCTAACATCCGTGCCGATCTTCCTCCACTTTATGTGGGACGCCGCCACAGCACGGCCTGACAAGCGGTGTGTTGGTGCACGCCTGGGATCCAAACCAGGGCCGCCAGCAGCGGAGCGCGTGCACTTAACCACTATGCCACGGGGCCCGCCCCAAATTTTAAGTTATTTTAAAACCAATTTTTTCTGGATTAAAAAGACATAACTTCTTCTTTCAAAAAAAAAATAAAGTTCAGCATTTTTTCAGGTTCATATGATCAGCGATGTTTCCTGGGCAAACTTAAAATTATTTAAGTAATAATCCAATATATAACTCAAATGATTAAGTGCACAGATCATCCAACACGGTAGCTAGTACCTGGCAACAGGTCAATAAGGTAAAGAAAACTAGAATGCTTACCAGGCACTGTGAAACACATTTTACATATGTTACCTCACTTAATCCTCAAAATCACCATATGAAGTATAATCTCACTCCTACAGATGAGGAAATTAAGTTTTAGAGAGTTACTTAACCTTGACCGTGATTACAGCTGCAAGTGACAAAGCTGGAATTCAAATAATAACAGCTAACATTTATTAAGCATTTACCATTGTGCCAAGGTCTGTTCTAAGTTTATCATTATATATAAACTTATTTATTCCTCTCAACAACCCCAAAGTATGCTGTCATTATTATCCTCAGTTTACAGATAAGGAAACTGACGCACAGAGAAGTTAAATGACTTGTCCAAGGTTATGAAACTAATAATTGGTAGATTTGGGATATTAACCCAGGCGATCTGACTCCAGAGCCTGAATTCTTAACCACTACAGTATGCTGCCTCTCCAGGATTCAAATTCCAGGTCTTTCTAAATTCACTAAGCCAAAATATTAGTCAATTTGTAATTAATATGTCTTGAAAATCTATTTGGGGAAACAATGACCAAAAAATTAATCCAAGGCGTAGTGGTTAAGTTTGCGCGCTCCGCTTTGGCGGCCTGGGGTTCGCAGGTTCGGATCCCGGGCGCGGACCTACACACTGCTTACAAAGCCATGCTGTGGCAGGCATCCCACATATAAAGTAGAGGAAGATGGGCACAGATGTTAGCCCAGGGCCAATCTTCCTCAGCAAAAAGAGGAGGATTGGCAACAGATGTTAGCTCAGGGCTAATCTTCCTCACACACACACAAAAATTAATCCAAAGAGACTCTGTTATAAATACCTTAATTTTTAAAATAAGCATTTCAAAAGACTATTTTATTTTATATACTAAATGAAGGCAGAAGGTTTGACTCTATTGTATTAAGCCAGCAGTGACACACAATCCTAATTTAGGAGAAATACGGTAGATTACCAAGAAACTCCTGTAATTATAGCAGTATAGGCATAAAGAGTGGTAAACACCAACTAAATCTCATTTAAGGCGGTGTATGAAAAACAGATTAGGTAAAATAATAGATTCCACAATCTAACTTCCCTTATGATAAATTCTCTTAAAGGAATGTTTTTCCTAACATACCTTTTCTTGCTGCAACCTTAAGAGCAAACCACGTTGTTTCTTCCGGAGTGGGGGCATTTTGTCATCTTCTCCTTTGTCTCGTAGATGTCTGCAAATATTTCCCATTGAGACAAAGATTAAATTTCTATTCTAATGTCAAGAACTCTCAACCACTAAAAAGTCTCTAAACCAATTAACATTTTCAAATGTGGAAAACAGTTGCTGTAAGCAGCAATTCCTATCCCAAGAAATATTTTACTGTGTATATAATATACGCAAACCTTAGACTCTGTCCTTTAAAGATAAAATAGTTTGAACTGCAACTAGAAGGATGTGCAGCTATGACATACAACTATCTACTGGGGCTTTGGCGGGGGGGAAGATATCTAAAGATAAAATAGTTTGAGAAATTTACAACATAGTAAAGGATTTAAGTATAAAATGACAACATAAGAGTTAGTTAAGTGATAAAAGAGAAATGCAAAGAACATGTTAAAGGAGTAGGAGGTCTTGAAACCAACATGATTTAAGGATGACTGCCATATTTCTAGCTTGAGCAAGTGGGTTGATCAAATCAAATTAAATGAGGAAACAAAAATATCTTTAAAAACAAAACATTTCCTTTAAATGAAAGGAGAAGTTGAACAGTGAAAACTATGTTCTCTGAAAGAGCTTACTTTTTCTGATGCTCTAGCCAGGCTAATTCAGCCTTAGTTTTCTCCTTCAAGGCCTTTTCACGAAGACGCAGGAGTGAAGACTGGTGAGCTGCCCTCATTTCCTCTTCTTTCATATACTGTCGAACCATTTCCATAGTAAATTTAGAAAAGCTATCTTGTCCTCCTGAGAATGGCATACTCAGCTCCTGAAGTAGAGAATTTCGAGATTATCACCATCTAAACCTTTTGGAACTTAATTTCATTAAAAGAGGTATGCACTTATAAAAATAAATTATGTATATAAAAAGCCTGCCAACCATCTAAGAGAACATTCTTCAAAAAAGGCACATGAGAAGGAGTAACATTCATCTGCTAATTTATTTGGCCAATAAAATCTTAAACAACTATTGTAAGCTAGTTACTGTCCCACGGATAAAAAGCAGGGTACGACTATGTCCCTGTTACCCAAAAGGCTTACAATTTAGTAAGAAGAATGATATAAATGTGAATTTTTAAATAGAATAAAGTGTTATAAGAGTGAAGAAAGTCAAAAAGCTAAAGAGGTGACTTTGGTTCAGATCCTCAACAGCCTTATATACCATTCCAAGGAATAAGTTTGTATTCTATCTTGTGAGGAAAGTAAAGCCAGATTCTATAACAAAAATACAATGTAAAATTGATATCTTAGGAAAATCATTCTGGTAGCTGACAAATGAGCCCAAGTACAAAATGTATCTCATGCCTTTGCAAGAACACATCCACAACTATTTATGAAGAATCTCCACAGGTAAACTGAAATACACCTTGGCAGAAGACAGTGTAGTCTTTTCTGGGGAAGTTTCTTCATCAGAGTCATCATGATGGCCTCTTTTCTTTTCCATGTTAAATCTGCGATGACTCTCAGAAGGTAGTAAAGATCGAAATGATTTTTCTTCTATTTCATCTTCTGTCATGGATTCATCAAATTTCAGGGAATATTCTGTTGCAATAGAAGTTGAATCTAAAAGAATATGGAGCAAGTCGATTTTATCATTGTAACAGTTTACAGTAGGTATTCAATTAGTAGCCCTTGCTGCCTCTTTATAGGACAATCTAACATAAACTCATTGAACTGATCACTAGCAATTAATAGACATGAAATAATAAACAATTCACTTAACTTACAAACAAGAAAAAAAAGTCGAAAATATCTAAAAATACTAGTACAAGAAATATGGTAAAAGTGTAAAGTACTTCATATACAAAGAGCTCTTACAAATCAATTAGAAAAACCAGTAACAACTCTAAAGAAAAACGAGAAACGGTAATGATCAGATGCTTCACAAAGGCCAAAATAAAGTAAAAAAAAGAAAAAGTTTAACATTACTAGCAATCAAAGAAATGCATATTAAAAATTTTCTAGAACTCATTAATCTGATGCTTAATTAAAAACATAACAGCTCTTTTAGGTTGGTTCCTGTGTGCCTCTGACACACCCCCAGCCCCATCCTTTTGTTTACTGAACATCCTTACTTTCTGGTACTACAAGATGCTCCAGGTTCATTTTGTATTTTCCCTGCCCAGTCCTAGAAACAGTCATTCCTCCAAAGAGCCCCGGTTTCTTTTATTGGAGAATATTTAGAAACCAGTTGGGTACTGGTTGTCGTTGTTACTACTGGCATATTGTTGCTTCTTCACTCTATTAGTGGACAGACCTGGGTAATACATGCATGTATACTAACCCATGTACACACACCTGTTCCTGTATCCATCTATCCAAACATGGATTCATGCTGATGGTTCTGACTCTAATCCAGGACCACAGGGTTCTTTCTAGTCTTCCTTTCTTGCGTATCTGTAACTTCCCTCTCCAACACCAAGACACCTGGCTCCCACTATCCAACATCCATTTACTTATTTGTTCAACCCCAATATACATGTAAAGAACTGTTATAACCCACATCCCTGTGAAAAACAAGTTTACCAACTAGAATACAGTGTTTATACACTGTTCCTTTTTCATTTAGGTTTACAATGTCCACTCAAAAACACCATTTTCCAAAGTTACTTAGGTCAGCTCCTTTTTCCTCCACCCCCTTCGGTGTCGTTATGCCATATATTTGTAATGAGTTAGGTTCATTTGCCACAGGCTACATTCCATCCTGAGATCCCCAAACATCCTGGTTGATGGTTGTGTATTTACTTTGCACACATTAAAGTTTACTCTTTCTGATTTAGTTCTAGGGTTTTGACAAATGCGTAGCATCAGACAGTACATACAAAACCATACAGAACTACAATACCTTACATAATAGTTTTACACTAAAAGTTCTCCTGTGCATCCACTTTGCAGTCAACCACTTTCTCTTCCACCTAACATCTGGGAACCATTCATCTGTTTTCCATCCCTATAGTTTCACCTTTTCCAGAATGTCATATAAATGGAATTATAGAATATGTAGGCTTTGGGGGCTTGCTTCTTTCAATTAGTAAAATTTACTTAAAACTCATCCATGTTGTTGCATGAATCAATAGCTTGTTCCTTTTAATCGCTGAATAGTATTCTATTGTATATTTACCAGTTTGTTTATCCATTCATCTCATAAGACATCTTGGTTCTTCCAGTTTTTAGCCATTATGAATACTGGTGTTATGAGCATTAGTACAGGTTTTTGTGTGGACATAAGTTTCCAAACCACTTGTGTAAATACCTAAGCATGTGATTGCTGGGTCATTATAGAATACTGTGACAATGTCTTCCAAAGTAGCTGTACCATTTTGCATTCTCATCAGCAATGAATGCAAGTTTCTGTCGCTCTGCATCCTTGTCAATTTGTTGTCAGTTTTTTGGATTTTAGCCATTCTAATTAATAGGCATCTGGTAGTATCTCATTGTTATTTTAATTTTCATTCCCTAATGACACATGATATTAAAGACCTTTTCTATGTCTATTTGTCATTTGCATATTTTCTTCAGTGAAGTGTCTGTTCAGATTTTTTGCACATTTTTTAACTGGGTTGTTGATTTTCTTATTGTTGAGTTTTAAGACTCCTTTATATATTCTGGATACAAGTCCTTTACCCAATATGTGATTTACAAATATTTTCTAATAGTCTGTGGCTTAATTTTCATTCTCCTAGCAATGTCTTTCATAGAACAGAAGTTTTTTAATTTTGACAGAGTACAACTTACCAATTTTTTCTTTCATGGATTGTACTTTTGGTAATGTACCTAAGAAATCATTGCCAAACCAAAGGTGACCTAGATTTTCTCCTATGTTCTCTTCTACATATTGGTTTTTTAATGGTTTAATTCCTTTGGATCTTGGTTCTTCTCTGAATTCTAGCTGCCTTAGCCTCTCTAGGCTCCTAACTCCATTTCCTTAACTCAGGGAGACTGCTGGGCTCCATGCTCTGTGGTCTGGAAATTCCCTCTAGGTAGTAAGCCGGGGGCAATCACAGCGCTCATCTCATCTATATCCTGTCTCTCATGAATCAATATCATTCACTGTCTAATGTCCAATGTCTCAAAAATAGTTATTTCATATGTTTTGTCTGATATTTTAGGAGGGAGGGTAAACCTGGTCCCCTTCCTCCATTGTGGACAGAAGTAGAAGTCCAAGCAATTTAATTCTAAATTGTTTAAAGAACTTAAATATACCAAAAAGTCACAGTTGGTGACATTTCAAATTAGTCACTTGACAATTATTTATTTGAGGTTCACAGACACTATCAATAATTAAATGTCATCAGTAATTTAATTACAAACACTATTATTAATAAGATAAAATTTAGTAAAGGTTAAATTCTGCAAGAAAACTTCTATTATTCCTCTATTATTTTCCTATATTCTTTATTTCTCCCATGATGTGAAAGTTGTCATTATGAAGTCTGATCCTAAAATGAATTTCATTAGTCTTTAATCCAGCAGTCCACAAAACATTTTTGATCGTGTATACCTATCAGAAAAAAAAAAATATGAGCGTGCCTCTCAATATTTATAAACTATTGTATTAGTCTGCTTGGGCTGCCATAACAGAAGACCACAGACTGGGCAGCTTAAACAACAGAAATTTATTTTCTCACAGTTCTGGAGGCTGGAAATCCAAGATCAAGATGCTGGCAGGGCTGGTTTCGGGTGATACCTTTCTTCTTGGCTTGCAGACTGACGTCTTCTGTGTCCTCACAAGGCCTTTTCTCTGTGCTTGTGCACTCCTGGTGTCTTCTTTTCTTATAAGGACACCAGTCCTACTGGATTAGAGGCCCATCTTTATGACCTCATTTAACTTTACCTCCTTAAAGGCCCTATCTCCAAATATAGTCACACTGGAAGTTAGAACTTCAACATATGAATTTTCGGGGGACACAATTAAGTCCATGACATTCCAGCCTCTGGCTCCCCAAAATTCATTCCTTCTCACATGCAATATACATTCACCCCATCCCAACAGTCCCAAAAGTCTTAACCCATTCCAGCATCAACTACAAGTCCAAAGTCTCATCTAAACATCATCTAAATCAGGTATGTGAGACGTATGTGAGACTCAAGGTATGATTCATCCTGAGGCAAAATTCCTTTCTAGCAGTGAACCTATGAAGCAACAAGACAAGTCATGTGCTTCCAAACCATAATGGTGGAATAGGCATAGAACAGACAACCCTATTCCAAAAGAAAGAAACTGGAAAGAAGAAAGGGTGACAAGTCTCAAGCAAGTCCAAAACCTAGCAGGGTAAATTTCATTACATTGTAAGGCTCGAGAATAATCCTCTTTGGCTCGATGCTCTGCCCTCCAGGCCCACCAGGGTGGCCACCATACTTTCTAGGCCCACTGGGGTGGCCATTTCCCCTCACCCGTGAGTGGCAGCCGCACCCCCTCAGCCATAGGCAGTGGCCTTGCTCCCGAGGCCCTGCACAAGAGCAGCCTGGACAACTGAAACCAAAGAGATGGCCTCAGTCTCTGAAACCAATGAGGGGACAGCCTTGCCACATGGGCCTGTGTGCTCTGGGCCTGTGGTGGCAGTGGCTGCTCTGCTGATTTCTGAATCTCCTTCAGGGTCATTCTTCCCTTTTCTTGAAGGATAAGGCATGTTCACAGCTGGATAGCTCTATTGTCTCATCCCGCAGAATCCCAGAAATCCGCAAATCTTCCTGTATTTCATCCTATGTCTTGTCTTTTATTCCAAACTGGCAGTGTCTCTGCTGGTATGATCCCATCTCTATTCCTGGCTTCTGCTGAGATGGCTGATTAAATCCACTGGTAATCTCTTAATGGAGTGACTGTCCAGTCACTTCCTTGGTATTCTCTCCAGAACAGCTGTCTCATTTTTCACAATATGGATAGGCTAAAAATTTTCCAAATCTTCAAGTTCTGGTTCCTTTTTGCTTTATAATTCTTTCAATTTCTCTCTCCTGTCCCATTTTACTATAAGCAGTAAGGAGAAACCAGGCCATGACTTCAACACTTGCTTAGAAATCTCCTCAGCTAAATATCCAAGTTCATCACTTTTAACTTCTACTTTCCACAAAACACTATAACGCAGTTAGCCAAGTTCTTGGCCACTTTATAACAAGGACTGCCTTTCCTCCAGTTTTCAATAACATGTTCCTCATTTCCATCTTCATCAGACTTCACTGGAATCACCTTTAATGTCCATATTCCTACCAACGGTCTCTACAGGGCAATGTAGGCTTTTTCTAGCATGCACCTCAAAACACTTCTAGTCTCTACTCATTAGCCAGTTCTAAAGCCACTTCCACATTTTTAGTACTTGTTATAGAGCACCCCTCTTCTAGGTACCAAGATCTGTATTAATCAGCTGGGGCTGCCATAACTACAGACTGCTATACCCACATATTATACTCATTATAAAATTTACAAACAAATATTTTAAAAGAATAAGAAAAATTTAAATTTAAATATTTTCTTCATGCACTCCAAACACTGCCTTGCCTATTCTGCTTTGAAGACTACACTTCTAGACTATCAATCAAAAATACTGCTTAAGAGCCAGTTATTAAAAAAATAAATTCTAGAATGGAGGCTTTTAATATTCTGACTTAATGTCTTAACGGTGCCGTTTGTTGCCAGATTCTGTTTTGTTTATTATGTTATTTACTACCCATTATTTGATAGAAGTACAGCTTTCATTTATGATCTAGGAAAAGTAATAAATTTTAATCTAGTTATTATATCTGATGTTATCATTATTTATAAGAAAATGTATCCTTATTATAATGTTTAAAATTTAAAGTTCTAATAATATATTTTCTCCTTTATATGATTACGTTACACGCCTATAATAGGAAAAAATTAGTTTTTCAGTGTTGAGTATACATTTTTCATTCACATGCATGTTCTCCTAGATTTAGTTCTGCCTCCTCTTAGGATTATGACACACAATCATTTAAAACATTGGCATGGGTTACTAGCACAGTGAATGGCCATGAAATAGTTTCACCTGGATACATTTACTATCAGACATATAACCTGGTCATTACCACCATGTTCTAATTATATTAACTAGCTCAATCACAAATATCTCAAAGGGTCTGGAACCCACCCAAAACAAATAAATATACATATATGTGCAAGAAAAGTTACCTTTCTCATCAGGAAGAGACGGTATGCTATCACTTCGCAGAGAATCATCCGCAGCAGTCTGAACCTGTTCATCAATAGAACTCTCCAACTTTTCACCATGAAGTTTCTTCTCATTTTCCTTAGAAGATGGAACTGAAGGACTTTCTTGACAGCTGCTACCACTACTACTTCTGTTTATGGAGATTATGGAAACAAAACAAAAAAAAGGTGACAAAATAAGGATCATAACTTCAAAGTAAACTTATTTAGACAAAGAAATGGGCCTTATGATCAAGCTATAAAATGATGAAAGATGTAATATAAAACATAAAAATGCTAAGTAGACATAAGTCCGAGAAGAAACTGCTTTAGGAAACATGAGTAGGAAGGAGGAAGGTTTCACTTTTAAATAATCATGATGGGCAGCCACTACTCTCAGGCTATCACTCTCCTTTATTCTTTTATTTTAAAATCAAGCTACTGGGAAAATAGGCTTCTACTTGCTGTTTCCACTTCCTTACTTTTCATCAACATCACAATTTATTACAATCTGCTTCAATCCCAACTACTCTACTGGAACTGTTCTTGTAAAATATACCTGAACTCTAATTGCGAAATCCAATAGATAATTTCTTTTTCTGCAACATCAGATGACGTTGAGCTCTATCTCCTTCTTTAAAAGCGTAAAATGTTAACATGAGGATAATTGGATGAAAGATGTTTGAGAACTTTGTATTATTCTTGCAATTTCTCTATAAGTTTGAAATTATATCAAAATTAAATGTTAAATAAAAGAGTTCTCCCTATATTCCCTGTCTCTACTCTCACTTGCTTCTCTTCCTTATCTCCCTAAACAAGTTTTCCTGTGTTTCTTTCATTTCCTTTTAATTTTTCTATCGTTCCTTAAAATGACGGTGCTTCCTAGAATTTTGGTTTTGGTCCCTTTCTGTTTTATGCTACATACTCTCCTTGGGCAATCTTATGCATCCCCATAATTCAAACTACTATCATTTAGATTGAGCCTCAAATCTATATCACTAGCTCTGCCCATCCCTTGACTTTAAGCCTCAAGTTTCCAAATGCTTAGTGAACTTGTTTTCAAGTTCAATGTTTTCCATCCTCCTCCTTTGCTTGCCTTAGTTTATTCATTCATTTAAATATACATATTTGTTGTTAGTGCCGTTGAATCAATTCCAACTCCTAGCAACCCTGTACAGCAGAGCAGAACCCTGCCTGGTGTTTCTCCACCATCCTCTCACCTTCTGGCGCTGTATCAGACAATGTTCCACTGCTATTCATAGGGTTTTCATGGCCAATCTTTTTGGAAGTGGGTGGTCAGGTCCTTCTTCCTAGTCTTAGTCTGGAAGCTCTGCTGAAACCTGTCTACCACGGGTGATCCTGCTGGTATTTGAAATACCAGTGGCATAGCTTTCAGCATCACAGAAACATGCAGTTGGCCAGAGTTAAGCCAAGTGAGAGATGGGTGGTGTGGTTCCCTGACCAGGAAACAAACCCAGGCTGTGGTGGTAAGAGTGCCAAATCTTAACCACTAGACTACCAGGGCAGACAATTATATATATATGTATATATACATACACATACGTATGTGTATGTATATATACATATACGTCCATCAATAAAATCGATATATTTTTTAAAAGCTTACTCAAGCACAGGAATTTAGAGTTCTTCTCCACCTTTTCTTCTGCCTCTATATCATACATGTGTATATATATATATATATATATGTATATATACATTTTAGGAGCTAATCACGAGCCAGGTTTTGAGATCCTCTGCATAAACAGTTCAAGTATCATTTCTGCCAAGTTGCTTGTGGACCCCTTCTCCCACTCCCAAGGAAGGTCTGGTCTCTTCTGTCCCTGTGTTGATACTACTTTTTGTGTATGTTTCTATGATAGTATTTATGAGAATATCATCCAATTATTTGTCTGGTTTAATAAATGTTTTTAACAGGATAAATCATATAATAAAGCTGTAAGGTAAAAGATACAATGCAGGAGACAGCAAGTACTTTGGAGTCAGAAGGATATAGGGTTAACCTCAATTCTTCCACTTAGTAGTTATGTGCCAAACATTCACTCAATAAACACGTAGTAGATTGCCTACTGTTGCTAGGCATTTTGCTAAGTTCTGGGGATACAAGAATGACATGGTCCTCATTAGGATGGCTATAATAAAAAGACAGACAATAACAAGTATTGGTGAGGATGTGGAAAAATTTTATATTCTGGGTGGGAAAGCAGAATGGAGCAGCTTCTTTGGAAAAGAATTGGGCAACTCTTCAAAAGTTAAATAGAGTTACGATATGACCCAGCAATCCTTCTCCTAAGTATATACCCAAGAGAAATGAAAACAGACGTCCACATGAAAACAGCTAAAAAGTGGAAACAACCCAATGTCCATCAACTGATGGATAAATAAAATGTGGTATATCCATGCAATAGAATATTTGGCTATATAAAGAAATAAGGTACTGATATATGATAGATGAACCTTGCTATCATTATGCTAAGTCAAAAAAGCCAGTCACAAAGGACCACACACTGTATGATGCCATTTTCATGAAATGTCCAAAAGACAAATCCATAGAGAATAGAAATAGGAAGTAGATTAGTGGTTGCCAGAGGCTGGGGAAGAAGAGGTATAAGAAGTGACAGCTAATGGGTACAGGGTTTCTATTTGGGGTGATGAAAATGAAGCCCTCAAAGAACTTCTAGTCTAAATAATCGACAAGAAAAGGAATAAGGATATAGAAGGTGGTAAAGGCTGTAATAGTTATATTTGGAGTATTGTGGGAGAACACAGAAGGGATATCTAAAGCAGATCAGGGGTGGCACTGATTCTTGAAGGAGAAGTAAAAGTAAACTATATGAAATGGAGGGGCGAAGGTCTATAAAAAGGCACATCAGATGTAATGGCACAGAAGATAAAGATAGCATGGCTCTTTTAGAGATCTGAAGTAGTTAGAATTAGTGGACTTTGATAAGAGGGGAGATGCTGAGAGACAGGACTGGAGATGGACTAAACGCTCAACAACAAAGGGACTTTCATGTTATACTAAGTGGCTCTGAGGGAATACTGAGGGTTTCAAACAGGTGAATAACCAATTGGCTGCAAATTTTAGAAAAATCACTCTAGTTACCATGTGGTTAATGAATAGAGTGGGGAAAGGTTAGAGGATGGGGAAATGTATTAGGAATCCACTGCAGTAACTCAGATGATGGCCTAAATGAAGCGTCAGTGAAGGTTAAACGAAAGTCACATAGTTCTAGACACATAGTAGGTGCTCAAAAACTGTTGGTACTTACCTCACATTAATTTTCATGTGTTTTTAGTCTCATGATTTAATATTTTTTTCTTTTTTTTATGCAGAAGACTAGCCCTGAGCTAACATCTGTTGCCAATCCTCCTCTTTATGCTGAGGAAGACTGGCCCTCCGCTAACATCCATGCCCATCTTCCTCTACTTTTTATGTGGGACACCTGCCACAGTATGGCTTGATAAGCAGTGCGTAGGTCTGTGCCTGGGATCCAAACCCAGGAAGCCCACGCTGCCAAAGCAGAGCGTGTGAATTCAACCACTATGCCACCTGGCCAGCCAGTGATTTAATTTTTTAACTGAGGTTTTTACTACACTTTGACAACGTAGGTATCCTATCACTAAAGAGTGCTGGAAAGTAGCCTCTAAAACCTTCTAATCCAAGGACAGAATCATAACTGAAAACTATAGCTGTTAATACTGTGCCAAGTACCAATGAAAAGTACTCAATTTTCTTTTACAATGATAATAATTAGCACATACAGCAATGTCAAGAAATATGGATGTCAGTAAAGCAATGTGCAATAAACATAGGCTTCGGGGCCAGATAAACCAAGGTTCAATTCCTTGGTGCGCCATTATCTATGTGACCTTGGGTGAGTTTCTGAATATCTCCCTGAGCCTTTGTTCCCTAATCTATAAAAGGAGGATAATACCTGTCTTAGAAAGTTGTTATGAAGATTAAATGTATGAAAAGCAACTTATACAGTGCTTGTACGATGTAAGCTCTCAAGGAATGGTAGCTATATTATTACATGGAACAACTACTTTGCAAATCAGCTAATTAAATGGGGGAAGGCAGAACTTGGAAAGGAAGACACTATTTCATTTAAAGAAATGAGAATAAAAATTAAAAGAAAAGCAACGTCTAAGCTATTTATCAGAATTTACTAAATCAAACTCTTTCACCTTCTATCGTGATTCTTGTATCTTGAAGACTCAGAATAACTATCATATGAAGGGGAATACTTCTGATGCTTTGCGTCAAGGGTCTCTTCTTTACTCTGAGAGAGTGAAACAGATTGACTTTTCCTAAAAAGAAAATAAAAACTGACTAAAGTCTCTAATAAGAAAAAAGTTTTAAATACCATTTAACATTAATACGAGATAAAATCTTGAATTCATAGAAATTATGAAGTCATTGGTACAAAGTATTTGAGAAAGGGCATTCACTCATAGAAAAGGGTGTACAGCACATTAAAGAGTATCTCCTCATAAAATAAATATGAGAACCACAAATCACCCCAAGTATCAATGAATGTTGAATCGAGACTTAAAATCTATGAATTAGAGACAGTCAAAATGTGATGTAAAAAAAGACACACACAAACATGATCACATTATCCAGCCCTGCCTAAAATACTCCCTGATGACCTATCATTGCTCCTAGAATAAAGTCCAAAACGCTTAAGGTCTGCAAGGTCCTACCATGATCTGATCCCTGCATCATCTCCTACCATACTCCCCTTTACTCTCTGCCTCCAGTCACACTGGTCTTCCTTCACTTTCTTTTCCTACCTTTGCATGTACTGACCTGCCTGTTCTTTACCTCCTTTACATCACTGACTCCTTTTCATCCACTAGATCTCACCATAAGCTTTACTTCCTCAGAAAAACTTTCTCTGATCTCCTTGCACCCCCAGGCTGTTCAAATTCCTTTCTTACGTATCTCAGAGACACAGGTTCCTTTTTTCATAACACTTATCTCAGTTTGTAAGTGTTCATTCACTTAAGTGAATATTTGATTAATGTCTATCATCCCTACTAGACTGTATGCTCATAACTATATTCCTAGTACCCACAATAGTGCCTGGGACATAGTAAACACTCATTACATATTTGTTGAATGATAGAATACTAACCTATCTGTTTCAGCTCTGGTCTTCAGTTGTTTCACGAAGTCTGAAGTGTGTAGCCGCTGGTGGTCATAGAGCATTGCTAGTGGAGCTCCTGAAGCAGTGATGGCATCTGACATATGAGTTCGAGTCAACTCTGCCATCTAAATATGAACACACACAAAGCAAAAGTAGATGTAAAAAGATAACGTCACAGAAGAACTGAGAAGGGAGCATAGAGTCTTGGAAAGATCACTGGATTAAAAGCAAGCAAATTCTGCCATAATAGATGAAATATTGTGGGCAAGGCATTTAAACTCTTTAAGTCTCAGCAGCTTCCTTATAAAAATAAAGGGTTGAACCACATGATTTCTAAGGTTTCACCCAGCTGTGACAATCTATGAATTAAACAGAAAACCTTCAAGTCATATAATAAGCCATAGTAAATCAAAAATTAAATCTTCCTTCAAGAATCAATTCAATTACTACTTCCTATCTGAGTCTTTTCTGATCAAGAAAGTGAAGTACATTTTCCCCACTCTTAGCCACTACTGCAATTGCTGCATGTATTATCCATATCACGGCCTTGATGACTTAAGTGTTTTTGAAATCTTTGTTACTTGTTACTTGTCTAAAATTTTCTTGAGAAAAGAGACTCTACATTATACTTATTTGCACAATCCCATTGTACCCAACACATATAGTAGGTTCATGGCTTTTTAATAACAGAATCATTTCACAAACAGTCCTAAATTGTAACTGCTAAAACAAACTGGAACTATATCTATAGATTACGATATCCTATAGAGAGACAGAAGTAAAACTATTTCTGGCTTTGTCCTTGGTACAGTAAAAGAAAAGACACTAACATCACTCTGGGTAAAAATGAAACATCTTCATACAAAGCAGATCAGTGGCTCCCTGGGACCTAAGTTGGGGACTGACTACAAAGGGGCATGACGGAACTTTTTAGAGAGTTGGAAATATTCTATTTCTTGCTTATGGTAGTGTTTATAGGGATACAAGATAAGATATAGAAATATATAGCTATATATATATATCGATATATATATATAACATAGCTATATATTTGTTAAAACTCATCAAACTGTATACTTAAAATGGATGCATTCTATTGTTTGTAAATTATACATCAATAAAATCCATGTATTTTTTAAAAGCTTACTCAAGAGCAGGAATTTAGAGTTCTTCTCCATCTTTTTTTCTGGCTCTGTATCATTCACATATATAACACACTGTAATAAATGGTGCCTCTTATTTCAGTAGGGTATGGCCCCCACTGAAAGTCACTAATTAAAAGTATGCATTTGCGGGGCCAGCCCCATGGCCTACTGGTCAAGCTCACTGTGCTCCACTTCGGCGGCCCGGGTTTGATTCCTGGGTGTGGACCTACACGACTCATCAGCGGCCATGCTGTGGTGGTGACCCACATACAAAATAGAGGAAGACTGGCGTGGATGTTAGCTCAGGGCAAATCTTCCTCAAGCAAAAAGAGGAGGATTGGCAACAGATGTTAGCTTAGGGCGAATCTTCCTCAGTAAAAAAAAAAGTATGCATTTGCTAGATGTTAGAAACCCATTAGTACGAAGACCAAAGTTACTCAGATTAAATAAAAAGAACTAAAAAGAAAAAGGTTCTCAGTGTCTCTTACCTCACAGATTTGGCGTGCTGCATCTGTGGTGAGGCGAGCAGCCTCTGTTTGCTGAGCAGCTATTTTACAAGTTGCTTCCTGCAGGACTTCAGTTACATCCCGTTGTGATTTAACCACCTGCTGTAACGATTCCACATGGACCTGTAAATAAAAATGGGTAAAAAGAGAACTTATGTCTCAGTCTCACCCCATCCCAAATTAGTTTTTATTTGTAAGTTTGTGTCATGGATCAAATCCCTTGTAAAAAAAAAAAAAAAAA